ACCAAAGCTACGACAGTCGAATGGCAGGAAGAATTACGCAGAAGTTTGCAAAAGACCAGGAACCTTCACGTCACAATTAAGAAGCGAGCACGAAGAAATCAAAATGGTTTATACTAGCTGGTAAAAATTATACTGGATATTGGATTGGAAATGTCAGACCAAACTATCATACAAAATATTCCCGCCAAAGTGAAATAATGCACAATGTCTTGCTGCTCTGAAATCTGCCAAAGATCCAGACGAATTATGGAAGACGATAAATGAGCCTACGCAATCAAAAGATTTTTTCTAGCTTCTCAGAGGGACATTGGATATTGAATGTAAAATGCGGATAAAAGACTAGATGCGTTACTTTTCAGCATTGTAATAAAATAAAAACCACCATAACGCCACTAAATAAGTTTCTTTTCTTCCTTTTTCAGAAAGAAACGCTGACGTGGCTTCACTGGAACAGGAGGAAGATCGTTTGGCCAGACTTGTTATAAGTGACGATAATTAGCTTGTACCCGGTTAATTCAATCCTGCCGTGGTTGAAATAAAGATCTTCCTCTCGTCTCTTCGTCTTCTTCCTTTTCCGTTGGTTGTGGTTGTGCTTGCGTGTAACAGCATTGTAACGCAATAGAAACCAATATAATGCCACTAAACAAGTTTCTTTTTCTTCTTTTTCAGAAAGAAACCTCAACGTGGCATCACTAGAGCAAGAGGAAGACCAGCTCTCTAAGCTTGTTATAAATGACGATAAGTAACTTGTACCCCGGGCTATTCAAGCCTCGTTTTGCTTGAAATAAACGCATCTTACTCGCCGTCTTTGTCTTCTTCTATCGTTCGACGTGTTTGCGGTCTGAGTGTTATAGCATAAAATGTCCCTGTGATGTTTTACCACGTTGATGCATAACCTATGTACATGTATATATAGTGAAATAAGCAAGTAATTGAAAGATTTCTCCTAGCATTATTTGATCTTGTCTTATGATTGTTTTTTGTTGAAATGTAATATATTTGGGGTTCAAATAACTGATTATTTATAATTATTTTGGTGTGAATGTGAAAATCGTGAATTAATCATCTGCTGTTGATATGCATGTATGTTTATTCCTGGTTTTGTGACTAAGAATATGAATGACAAATGTATTATTATTATTATTGTTCCCTTGGATTCCTAGTGGAACATAGGGCTTCAACTGCACGTCTCCACTTTCTTCTGTCTTCTGCTGTTCTTTTCACTTGCGTCCATGTTAGTCCATACTGTTTCAACTCCTCTTCGCACGATCTCCTCCATGTCACCCTTGGACGTCCCACTCGCCGCTTCCCTTTCGGGTTCCACTCGAGGGCTTGACGCGCGATGTCGCTCAACGGCCTCCTCAGCGAGTGTCCAATCCATCTCCACTTCCTCCTGCATATTTGTTGGGCGATTGGTTCCTGTTTCGTTTGTTCCCATAGCTTCTTGTTTGTGATTCTTTCTGGCCATCTAATCTTCAGTATGGAGCGAAGACAGTTGTTGATAAAGGTCTGCAACCTGTTGAAAATATTCTTGGTGACCCGCCAAGTTTCTGATCCGTAAAGCAAAATTGACTTGACGTTTGTATTGAAAATCCGAATTTTGTTGTTGATGCAGGCTGAGTGACGAAGATTTCCAGATTGGTTTCAGGTTGATGAATGTGTTTCTCGCCTTCCCGATTCTCGCTCGATTTGACATCCTCGTCCGTTCCTCGTGTAGTTGAGACAATGCTCCCTAGATAAGTGAAAGAAGTAACCTCTTTCAAATCCCTCCCGTTGATGGTGATTGGCACTGGATGTTGCTGCTGTTGTTGGTTGGTTATTTTCATGACCTCCGTCTTGTCTATGTTCACCTGGAGTCCTGTCTTTGCTGCTTCTTCGACCAGTTTGTCGGTTTTTGCTTGTAAGTCTTCGATTTTGTGTGACATCAAACATAAATCATCCACGCGCGAAATCCAGGTCTTCTAGGTTCTTCACGTCGGTCCAGGATATCCCTGTCTTCTCGTTTCCCACTGTCTGACTAAGCTTAATCCAGTCCACCACAATTAGGAATATCATTGGTGATAATAAGCACCCTTGTCTGACTCCTGTGTTTACTCCAAACGCTTCGCTGAGTTTTCCGTTGTGGATCACTTGAAATGTGCCGTTGTCGTACAGTTGTTGAATAAGGTTGATGAATATTTGCGGTACGCCGTAGTACTTGAGTAGTTTCCAAATTACTTCGCGGTCAACGCTGTCGAAGGCCTTCTCAAAGTCTATGAAGTTGAGGTAGAGATTTGATTGCCATTCCATGCTTTGTTCGATGATAATGCGTAGAGTTGCAATTTGGTCAGAACATGATTTGCTTTTCCTGAATCCAGCTTGTTCTGGTCGGAGTTTTGTATCCAGTGCGTCCTTTATTCTCTCCAGGATGATGCGACTCAGGATTTTACTTGGCGTCGACAGGAGGATGATTCCTCGCCAGTTCTTGCAGAGTCCCAGGTCGCCCTTCTTTGGTAGTTTCACCAGGTAACCTTTCCTCCAGTCAGTAGGCACCTTTCCCTCTTTCCAGATCTTTTGCAATAATGGAGTCAGCATATCTGCCGTCGTTTCTGGGTCCGCTTTCAGTGCTTCCGGGGGTATTCCATCTGGTCCAGCTGCTTTTCCAGCTTTCAGAAGCTTGATTGCATTCATGACTTCAGTTTTCGTTGGAGGATTGGTGTCAACTTGCAGTTGTGTACGTGCTGTTGTTGGTATTACTGGACGGGTTGTAGGTGGTGGTCGGTTCAAGAGTCCTTTGAAGTGGTCCGCCCATTATTTAATCTGTCTTTCTTCTTTGGTAATTGGGTTCCCTTGGCTGTCTTTTATAGGTTTCACTTGTGTTGATCTCTTCCCGGATAGAGACTTGGTTATCTGATATAGTGTCCTCAGGTCCCTTTTGCCTGCTGCCTTCTCAGCTTCAGTAGCCAGGTTGTCGTAGAATTGTCTTTTGTCCTTCCTGGCACTCTTCTTCACTTCTTTGTCCAGTGCTGTGTAAGTTGAGTTCAGCGTCTCTTTCTCTTGTCCATCTTTGCATTGAATCATTTTCTCTTTCACTTTTCTCGTCTCCTCTATTAGTTTCCAAGTGTCTGTTGAGAGCCATTCCTTGTCTTGTTTCTTCTTTCTTCCTAAAACCGTTGAGCACGTTTCGTTGAAAATTACCTTCAGAGAGTTCCAATGGTCTTCCACGGATGATTCCTCAGTGGTGCCACGTAGTGTTTCCTGCTTTGCTCTGACAGTTGCAGTGAAAATGTCCTGTGTGATTGTGTCCTTCAGTTTGTGAGTGTTGAACTTGCATTGTGGCCTATCCCCAGGTATCCTCGAGGCTTTCAGCTTCACCTTGAAAGTCCCTTGTACCAGATAGTGGTCTGAACCCACATCTGCTCCTCTCATCGATCTTGTGTCCAGTAGGCTCCGTCTCCACTTCCTTGAGATTGAAATGAAGTCTATCTGGTTTTTGGTGTGTCCATCTGGTGAAATCCATGTTGCCTTGTGTATATCCCTGTGTTTGAACACACTGCCACCAATCACCAAATCATTGAAGGCGCAGAAGTCTGAGAAGAGTTCACCATTTTCGTTCATTTCACCGAGGGCCTCACGACCCATGGTGAGTTCTCTTCCTGTATTGTCTCCTCCCAGTTTCGCATTCATGTCGCCCATCAGGATTTTGATATCGCTCTTTGGGACGTTGTCCATTACTGTTTGTAGTTGACTGTAGAAATCCTCCTTCTTCTCATGTTCTGAGGCGTTTGTAGGCGCATAGCACTGAATGATTGTAACCTTTTTTCCTTTTGAGTTGAACCTGGCTGTCATTATCCTGGAGGAGATTGGTTCCCACTGCATGAGAGCTTTAGCCGCTGTTGGTGACATCATGATGGCTACTCCCTCGGTGTGCTCGTGATTGTCCTCTGGGTGACCGGAGTAGATTATTGTCTCTCCAGTTGATAGTTGGCTCCTTCCACATCCGTTCCATCTGCTCTCGCAGATTCCCAACACTTCTATTCTATATCTCCTCATTTCTGCGGCTACCTGAGCAGCCTTCCCAGCTTCGTACATTGTACGAACATTCCACGTCCCCATCCTTATTTTCGCTTTCATCGAAAGAAGGCACATCGGCTGACTGGCTTCCCGAAGGCTTTCACCAGCCCGCGTCATTTCACTTCCCCGATTCCAGCGAAAAATAAGGTCACTATTTGTAATTTTAGAATTTTGAATATATTTGTGCGTTGAAGTTTTAGTAGCAATTTGGTTAAGTTTTGGGGGGTGGAGTTGCTAGCACCACGCCCCAACCCTCCCTCTTTATCCGGGCTTGGGACCGGCTAGAATACTAGTGACCTAGTAATCTAGGCGAGGTTAATGACAAATGTAGCACTCATAATTTATCTGAATAAGTAAATTCACGCTTTTATACCATATAATGTGTAATTTGAGTAATCTAACAATTCGACCATTTAAGAAACTTAGCAAAATATTGAATAGATAAGTGTTTACAAATTCGTGAAGATGTTCACGTAGAATTCTTTCAAAACTACTGAGTTGAAACAGATTAGGAAATAAGCAAATCCAGAATGGTACATCTATTTTTATTCACTAAAAATGAACATTTAGCACATGGATTACGTGAAATTGGGGCTTATTAGGCAGTCCTGAAAATGTGGTCTACAATAAATATGCAATTTACCAGCATCACTGCATGTATTATATAACATTTATGATTGTCAGATATTTGCAACAGTAAAGTCGTTTCGGTTGGTAGTTACCGTTCGAGGTTAATACAGGAGCAAGACAAGCTGGCTGCTAATTATCACGAACGATGATATTCTTAATTGTGATCGACCACATCATGCACCAGACTGTGCATTGGGAATGAGTGAGTGCGAAGACTGGAATACCCTGCACTGAACGATAAGAAGACTTTAAAATGTCTGGATGGCGTGTGTCAATGATTTATGTTTAATGTCACACAGGCTAAAAGACTTGCAAGCAAAAAATGGCAACAGACCGGCTGAAGAGGCTGGATGGCTGACTGGCAATGAAGACAGGGCTGACTCCATCCAGGTGATGAACAGAGAGAAGGTGGAGATGGCGGTGGTGAAGACAACCAACCAACTAACCACCGCCAACAGCAACAGTAACAACCAGCAGAAATCACCATCAACGGGAGAAAGAGGTTGACTGAAGTAGTGTCCTGCCTTCACTTATCTAGCTTAGGCAGCCAACATCGTTTCAACGACAGGTAGTCGATCGGAACGGATGACGATATCAAAACCAGCCAGCCAGTCGGCCAGAATCGGAAAGGCAAGATACACCTTCACCAACCTGAAATCAGTTTGGAAATCTCCACTCCGCCTCAGCATAGACAACAGGATTCTCATTTTCAACACAAATAGTCAGAAACTTGGCGTTGTTGTCACGAAAAGCATTTCCAACAGCCAGTTGCGGACTTTTATCGACAGCTGCCTTCGTTCTATATTGAAGATTAAATGACCAGCCTGCCAGAAACAGTTAACAACAAGTAACTCTGCCAATGAACAGGCCAACCCAGTGCCGATTGCTCAACAAATATTGATCGGGCTTACATTGAGAAAGGAGGCCATCGAATAACATCGCGCACAATGCAAGTCACCATTTGAGTGGGGAATCCCAATGGGAAGCAACGAGTGGTTAGTCGGTGCTGTTGTGACATGGAGGAGATCGTGTGAGCAACTGAAAACTAACTATCGTTTGATTATTAAAATTATTATTTTTAAATCAGAACAGCGTATATTAATTCAATAAATTGACTTGCTGCACTTGTACTCATCATATTGCGTGTTTCGTTTAAAAAAAATTTGTTTACTTCAATTTCAGATTATGAATGAATCAACTTTTAAAAGTTCTACATTTGGATTTCCTATTGGTGTGACAAAAATACCTGTATCACTTTCCACACTGACTGAAGTTGATGCTAATGGTCTGCCTAGACTACCGATATCAGTCACTTGTTATGCAAGATTTCGTCGATTATCATGCATTAAACACTCTAATTTATGTCGTTATCTTGATGCTATCCGCGAGAAAGGTGAAATAATATCAGTTATCAGTGAATATTATCATACAAACTTTGGTGATATTACATGCCCTGTTACTGATTTAAACTGGTTGTCAAATCGTTTCTATGAATGTCTATCGGCTTTAGCTTTTATGCACGACAATGGTCTAGTTCATGCTTGTCTTACACCTGATATGATAATGCTTGATTTTGATGGTCATGTGAAAATTGGCGGTTATGGTGTATTTTATGCAACTGAATGGTACAATTCTATTGATTTCATTCTACCTAATCCAGTGTATTCTGCACCAGAAGTATTTCTATTCGTATACAATCGTAACGCTGCCTATTCGTCTCAATTCGAGAATCCGATGAAGTCAGATAAATGCTGGTTACGCATAGAAGCTGATGTATGGTCTCTTGGTGTAATTTTTTCTGAACTGATTTATGGTAAAGAGATTGGTAATCCACTGCACAAAATTCAAAATGAGAGTAAAGGAAAACAAAGTGAAACTATTGAATTATTATTATTAAAAGGACTTTGTCAAGCTGATCAGTATCCAACATTGCCTGAATTTTTACAAATTCCCTTAGATGATGTTAGTGTGCCTTTAAACTTGGCTCCTTTTGCCAGGTTGATTCGAGAGTGTTTAAGATTTGATGTACTTACACGACCTAATCCGAAATATTTGTTGAAAAAAATGGATGAATTATTATTGAGTCATTGTTTATCGTGTGAAACAAATTCTGAAGTGAGCTTAAAGACCTACTTTCAAGTGAGTGTTCATATTGTTTCGATATTTGCTTGTATTGTTTATTCTTAATTGGGGGTTACAAAAATTTTCTGTCAATTATTATATTATTATTGTTTACTTTAACTACTAGAGGAACATAGGGCTTCAGCCGCACGTCTCCATTGCGTTCGGTTCTCTGCCAACGTTTTCACCTGGCTCCAAGTGTGCCCTCATGCTTTCATCTCCTCTTCACATGACCTCTTCCATGCCACCCTCTCACTGACAACCAACTCGCCGCTTCCCATTCGGGTTCTACTCGAGAGAGAGCCTGGCGTGTGATGTCCCTCACTTGATGGTTTGTTTTCTCAGAGTGTTGCTAATCTATCTCCATTTCTTCCTGCGTATTTGCAGCACATTTAGTCCCTGTTGGGTTGGTTCGCTCATTGCCAGACATCCGTGTTGCTGATCTTTTCTGGCCGGCCATCTGATCTTGAGTAGTATTGAGGGAAGACAGTTGGTGATGGTCTGTAGTGTGTTCGAAGTACTCTCCGTGACGCGGCGTGGCGCCAAGTCTCTAATCCGTATAGTGAGTAGCACTGAATTCACATTGGAGTTGGATATCATAGTCTTATTCTTCATGCTGAGTGTTGTTGATCTCCACAGACTTGGGGGTAATCAAAGCTTGCCTTGCTTTCCCGATCGTCGCTTTGATATCCTCATCAGTTCCATCCGCCTGTAGTTGAAACGATGCTTCTTAAGTCGATAAGTAAAGGAGGTTGCTTCTTTCAGATTTTTCCCATTTATGCTGGTTGTTGTTTGTTGTTGTTGCTGCTGTTGGACAGGAATCTTCATCATGACATCTGTTTTCTTTGTGTTCACCTGAAGTCCTATCTTCCCGGTTGCATATTCTAAGTCAACGAGATTATTCCCTGGTGGTAACAAGTCAATCCCTGAGTCGCTGAATTCAGCAGTTAAAGTTAATTCCATTAGTACATCTATGATGAAATTGAATAGAAATGGGGATAGTGGGCAGACGTCTCTGACGGACACCACCAGTTGTCACCACTTCAGATGACAACAAATTTGGCATAGAAAACACAAGGATAGACTGGAGATAAAATATAAGATCAGACAACGAAGTGAATTTATGCTTATCTATGATCCCGCTTTTCTTTTCTTTTTTGTTTTTACTGATATTCTTGTGGAAAATTTGTAGATTCTAAAGAAACTATGCTATTCCTACTGCTAATTTTCTTTTCCATTATTGTTCATTGTTCTTTTCTTCTTGTTTTTTTTTTGTAGAAAACATGGAATCACTTTGGAAGACCTGGAATAATGCATCATCATCATCAATCAGTCTGTGCTCTGAATGACGACAAAAACAACCTCCTAAAAGTTCATAATTTCATGAACAGCATTAAAGATCTATCAGAACTTTATTACTATTGGAAATTGACAGGTGGGAAAATTCATTCATCAGAGAAAAATCAATCTAATCTGAAGAGTATTCATAATAATAATAATATTAATAATAATACTAACTCTCATTTTGATTGTTATGATAAAGTGTCAAGAATAAAAGAAAATGATCTTGGAATGTATAATGTAGACGAATTCAATTATTGTTCATTGCCACCGATTTTAAGGATTCCACACTATCTGGCAATTGTTAAATCGAATTCTTCTTCTTCTTCACGTGTCATCTCTTCAGAAGAACAATGGCCAATAAGTGAAATGAGACAACCACGTACGTAAGTGTACCGCGTTAATTTATACGTCTGCCCTATTTATTATTTTCTCTGTACAGACTTTTTGTTCATAGTCCTTTGAATTGATTAAAAATGCCCATTGCCCACTGGACCACGTCTCGATGTGACCACGTATGGTCCCTCTCACTTTAGGAGAAGCCTTCCTGATCCCGGTCCACCTCCGGTAGTATACTTTCGTCCTCTACATTTCAACTGGTCGCCTACTTCAAACAACCTTCAAGCTTTGATTTATTTTGTTTTTTGCCAGCTTTCTCGATGTCTGCTTCCCGCTTCACTTGTATATTCTGAATAGCTTGTTTCCGCTCACTTGTCCGTCTCTGGCTGTTCCAGCGTTGTTGTACCGGCAAGCCTGGTTTCCTCCCATACATTAAATGGAAGGGCGATTTTTTGTTGTGCCCTGTATTGTGACCCGATGTGTTAGTAATACCAACGGTAGGTCAGTTTCCCAGTTGCCTGTCTTCGCAGCTAGCCACTCCTTGGGTGTACGATTATTCCTTTCTGTTAGGCCGTTTGTCCGAGGCTCTTTGGCATCACAGTAACCCAGTTATCATCATTGTCTTGCCAAGTTAGGATGCCGGAAGCGTTTAATTTGAGTCTGTGTTTGTGATGCAGTAGTGTCTTTAACTCTGTATTCTCCTCTGATGTCTTGATTTCTTTGCCTTCATTTACCATCTGGATGACTGTCTTAATAATAGGATCCGACTTCTGGCTCGGTGAACAAGTTGTAAGGGATCTTGGTTCAAAGCGTTTACTGCACATGCAACCTCTGGTAGTTTGGCCTCATTTTCTGATCTCGACAAATAGTCGGCTATTACATTTTCTTCTCCTGGGATATGTCCAATCATGAAATCATACCCTTGTAGGCATAACATCCATCGTGACAACTTCCCTCATGGGTCCCTTGCTGTTTTCAACTACTGCAGAGGTTTGTGGTCGGTCTCAATGTGGAATCAGCCGCCGATCAGGTACGGTCTCCATTTTTCTAGTGCCAATACAATGGCTAAACACTCCTTTTCCACCGTAGAATACTTCTGTTCTGCAAGTGTCAACACACGGCTAGCGTATTCAACAACCCCATCCGTTTGTCTTAAAACAGCACCTATATCATAATCACTCGCATCTGTCGAAACTGTGAATTGCTTCCTAGGCACTGGCAGTTTGACTGTTGACTATCTAACAGCTCTTTAATTTAATCAGACGTTTGCTGTGCCTCCGTCGTCCACGTGAATTCCGCGTTACTCAGCAATCTATATGGGGGACTTGCTATCTCGTTGAAATTTTTGACAAACCGGTTGCAGAATGCCGGTTCCGTTTCGAATTCGGTAATTCACTGGTTTTGACGGTCAGGATTTTCGCAGGTAATGGTCGTATTTCTCCATTTCCGACTCTATAACCCAGGAGGACAACATTGTTTTTGGCTATTTGGAACTTGTTCTTATTAATACGCAGTCCAAATTCGTCAATTCTTTTCAAGATAGCTTCGATGTGGTCTAGATGATCGCTTTTTGTCTCACTATACACAACCAAGTCGTCTCCATATACTTTTACGTCCTTCAGACCCTTCAGTAATAAGGTGATTAATCTTCTGAACCTAAATGGGGCGCCTACCAATCCAAATGGCATTCGTTTAAACTGGTATTGTTTCTGTCCAACCGTGAACTCTGTTTTAATTTGATAACTTTCTGTTATTGGGATCTACCAGTAACTCGATCTTAGGTCGAAAACGGTCAATAGCTTAGCCTTCTGAAGGCGATCAAGGGTTTCTGTTACGGTTGGCATTGCACACTGTTTTACTTTGGTGGGGCTATTCAACTGTCTGAAATCGACACAAAATCTATACTTCCCGTTAGTCTTCTTTAACAGAAAGACCGGCAAACTGTATAGGCTGTCGGCTTCTTCGATTATCCCCTCACTTAGTATTTCTTTGACTTGTCGGTTAACTTCTTCTAGGTGCACAGGAACTCGTGCTGAGAAGGCTGTCTTCCCCGGGTCCTTCAGTGGGATGTCATGCCTTACCTTATCACCATATCCGTGGGGTTCTCCATCTCCAGTGAATAAGCAGGCATATTTACTCATCAACGTGATTGGATTTGGTGCTTCTTTCGGAACCATCGTTGTTGTTTCTACCTCATCGACTTCACTGTTCTCATGTATCACAAATTGCCCATGGTTTGTGACCACTCTCCTATTCTTCATATTGACTACAGCGCCTACTTCTCTAAGAAAGTCTGTTCCAAAAATCGTTCACCGTGTATCTGACGTTACATTGAACGTATATCGTATTTTCCTTGTTCCAATCTCTACAGCGCAGTCTGAAACACAAAGAATCTGTAAAGAATGTCCTCCTACCGTCTGAACCGCTAATGTGCACGCCCTTACTTCCTTACACTGTTCTCTACCTATCAAAGAAACTGCTGCCCCTGTGTCGATCAAACAGACTGGTTCTCTCTCAATAACTTGTAATCGTCCGTATACAGCACCCCTTTCAACTAATCTTCTTCTTCTTTATTTCTTTACTTAGGCTATCTCCTACGGGAGGATGAGCCGGCTTCATGAACATCTCGAATCATCGCTGCCCAGGCGCGGCGATCTGATGCAAGGTTTTGCGACAGGGTTATCCAATTCTTGTTCCACAGACGGAGTCCGTAGACGGTTTGTAGCCCCATGCACTCCATATCAGCCTTGACTGTACCAAGCCATGTTTTCAGCTGTCCACCCCTGCGACATCGCCAAGATGGTAATGGCGAGGGATTTAGAACTGATTTGACCAGATCGTCATCTGGTCGGCGCAGAACATGGCCAAACCACCGAAGGCGACGTTGTTGGACCAATACTGGAATTTGGTTGATGTTGAGAGTTCATGAAGTTTCATGGGAATTTGGTACGAGTGATATCCCCAGAATTGTTTGAGAGTGCAGCTCTAGCCTTTACACAACCGAGTGTGACCTACAAGGCAGTAGGAGTGGAGTAAGGAGTCCACTTTCCATTGGCAGTCGGTGACCGGAGTTCGGTTCATGCGCCTTTTTGAATGGGGTCAGACATCCAGGACATCCAACAAGCCCTTTGTCCATACGTCTGCCGGTGAGCTCCAGTGAGCTTCATACGCCAGTCGATGGAGGTTTGGAATCAGGGTTTAGCCATCTCCCCTAGACTGTCATCCAACGGACAGTCAACCCGGTGAAGAGCGCCGGGCATCCGCCTTCGCCCTCTCACTTTGGTGAAAAACACCTCCGCCACGTGAAGGCAGTGAGTAGGACTTCCTCAGGAGAGGCTATGTAAGACGCCCGGTCATATGGGAGCATTTCAAGAGGTGTGCCGATGGGTGGCCAACCCGCAGCGCAAGGCACCCACCCCCGACCATCCTGAGGCTTTGGGGGCTTTCATTTAATCCCACAACCCCCAAAGGAAGACTATCGTTTAAGGATGGTTTGCTTTCGTTTCGGGCAATTTCTCCACCAGTGACCGGTTCCTCCGCAAGTAAAACATCTTTAGTTGCGTCTTTCTCGTATCTGCATATCCGCCACTTGCTGTTTCAACTCTTCAATCTCCTTGGATTCTTGGAACTCCATCATCATTGGAGCAACATGTGAAGTCATCAGTTACCTTGTGACTTTTGCCATTTCGTGAATATCCATCGGCTGAGCTGCGTTAACTAGCTGCAACTGATAAGCGATATCCGTAGGGAAGCGTTCGATGAACTGGGAAGCTATTTTTGATTGCACACTAGTCAGTATTTAGTGTAATGCGTCTTCGCTGCAGACTGAATTCTATCAGTCAAGCTTGCAACTGTTCTTGCGAATTTTCATCTAAGGTGGGTAATGCGCGTCGGAGTAGATTTGTCAGCGTCACTGAGAGAACCAATGGATCCCTGTCCTGACCAAGCCTCAGAGTCCGGAACTTCTGCAGTGCCCCTTGTCTATCTGTGGGGCTATTGAACTCGCATACGAGCCTCTCGACGACCTTGTCCCACGCCGCGTAGGCAGCTTTCGCACGGCCTCTCAGCAAAGTCCCCAAGACGACTAGCTTTGCCCTCTGCTCCCATACTCCAAACAAGTCCGTGACGGCTTCGAACTCCCTGAGGAATGTCCGCACATCTCCCTCCCCGAGCACTTGCGGCCACGGCACCTTCACCTCTGGCAGTGCCAGCGACACCAATTCTTAGGGAGAAAAGACCGATGAAGCTTGAAGGAATGTTTGTTAAGAAAAACTGATTGTAGGTAAAAAAAAAAGATTTGGTATGCAATATCTCCAACGCTTTATTTGCATATCTTTTGTAAATTGGTGGAATATCACCACATTCGGCAGCTTGTTGAGCTCTGCACAGTGTTTCTGATGTTATTTTCAAAGTTCTTTTCTTCGATTGCTTTTTCCAGTGTTATTTACTGATATACTACGTATATTTGATTATGAGTAGCACTCACCACACTACTACATGCTGGGAATTCCGTGTTTGCACCAAAATTGCTGTCTGGAATCAAACTATTATTATTATTTTACAGGAGTAAGTCAATTCAATTGAGTAAGCGATTCGATTCGTATTTAAACTTCTCAGAATATTCTTCACCATATATGTGTGTAAAACACAAAATAATCGAGCAAAGTGATATTTGTTTCGATAAATTCCTCTTCCGGCTCTACAGTTATATATATGCATGTTTGTTTATATACATAGAATATTCTAGATTAGTAGTCAGTAACAATATTAGTGTGCTTTCTAAATAATATCGATTTATAAAGTAAGATCACAATGGAATTACCACAGTTGATTAAAGATGCTTAAATAATAATAATTATTATTATTATTATTATTATTATAAAAATTTAATAGCGAATAGAATATCAACTAAAATTAAGAAAATTTATACAAAAAATTGAGGATCATTCGAACCTGGATGGCCAAGGTAATGATAATGACTGAACTAACTTCTTTTGGGTGCACAAATTAGGCTTGTTAATCTGGATCCCCCCAGCCTCAGGAATATTTAGCAGTCGAACTCTTAAGGCAAAATTGAGATTTGTTGTTGTATGCGGTAAATTACCCTGAAAGCATGGTTAACATCAATCAGTCTTGTGTTCTGTATCCACAAGATGAGTGAGATAGAATAGCGCTGCGAATAGATTTTGTTTGTCCTTTGCTTAACCACTCACTATGCAGGGTGATGTTCGGAAATTCGACGCGAAACACGCCTAATTGTACGGCCTATGTAACTGGCTCCACAGGAGCAGTTAAATTGGTATATGCACATGGAAGAGGCGAAATTAGGCGTGTTTCCTGTCGAATTTAGGAACATCACCCTGCATAGTGAGTGGTTAAGCAAAGGACAAACAAAATCTATTCGCAGCGCTATTCTATCTCACTCATCTTGTGGATACAGAACACAAGACTGATTGATGTTAACCATGCTTTCAGGGTAATTTACCGCATACCTACGAACCTCAATTTCTCCTTAAGAGTTCGACTGCTAAATATTCCTGAGGCTGGCCACTGGATCCAGAATAACAAGCCTAATTTGTGCATCCAAAAGAAGTTGGTTGGTTCAGACATTATCCTTACCGCTTGGCTATCCAGGTTTGAATGATCCTGAATTTTAGCTGATATTCTAGTTGCTACTATATCTTTATTATAATTATAATTATTATTTAAGCATCTTTAATCAACTGTGGTGATTCCATTGTGATCTTACTTTACAAATCGACATTATTTAAAAAAACACTAATACTGTTACTGACTACTAATCTAGAATATTCTATGTATATAAACACACACAGATATATATAATTGTAGAGCGAGAAGAGGAGGAAGTTATCGAAAAGGATATTCTTTGCTGGCTCAATTATTTCGTGTTTTATAGATGTCTGAATGAATATTTTTGCTATATATATATATATATATATATATATATATATATATATATATATATATATATATATGAATCATTTTTCTTTCAATAGATTTCATCCATCAAAAATCCTTCCATTGTCTAATCAACGTTTCATTGAGCGTATATCACGTACCCCACTACAAAACTTATACCCTCTACTCATCTGCCAAGACTTCAAGGTCAATTCTGCAGAAGACAAAATGAATATTTGTTGTTCTACAATCTACTCTGGTAACCACCATGATATTATTATGTTTGACTATTCCTCTAAGTCATCAATGGACAGTCAACCGACGGTCAACGACAACAGTGCCATTTTTCAAAATTTGAACAAGAATCATACAGATTTTATGAATTTATTATCTACTAAAAAGCTAACCTGTAATCTTGGCTTGAATAATTATTGGTGTGCGTCATTAACACGGGATGATTATGAAGCAAAGATCAATTCTATTTCTCAGCAACCATTGTCTGTAAGAGAAGCAGATGTTGATTATCAAATTTATCGTACACGTTTATTTATACGCATACTGAATGGTTTACCGGCAACAAAACGATATCTACGTTTAGAAGCACGTAAAGATATTCCACCGTTTCTACGTTGGAAGGTAAGTGTTTTTTTTCCATCCCGCCCCCACCCCTCACTTTTGATATTATCATAAGAGTAAATAAGCCTGAAATGTAATCATCACTTTATTACTTCTGCCTGTACCTGCACTCACTCTTGCGGGTGAACCGCTTAAAGTTGTTGATAAGTTTGTGTATCTGGGTAGTTGTGTGAGTGCTGACGGAGGAGGGGTGATGGATGAGATTTCCAACCGTATAATGAAGGCTAGGGTGGCATACATCAACTTGAGCCACTTCTGGCGCCGTCGCGACGTTAGCCTGGCTGTCAAAGGTCGGGTATACAATGCTTTGGCGTGGGCTGTCTTGCTCTACGCCTGTGAAACCTGCCTTCTCCGGGTGGGCTGAGGATGTGCGGCGACTCTGCGTGTTCGATCATCGCTGTCTCCGCAGGATTGCTTGCGTTCGATGGCATCATCGCGTGAGTAATTCTGAGGTTCGGCGGCGTGTGTTTGAACACAGTGGAGATCACCATTCATTGAATGTCGTCATCTGGAAACACCGGCTCCGGTGGCTTGGACATGTGCTGCGAATGTCATCCCAGAGGCTTCCGTACAGGTCTCTGTTCGCTGGCCAGCCCTGGGACGGGATGGAAAATTCGGAGAGGTAGTTAGCGGTCAGCTGATGACTTGGCATCGTGGGACGAAGGATATATGCGTTAGGTTAGCATCGGTTGGTGCTTCACGACTCCCTGGTTGGGGTCCGCGAGATAGCTCGAATCGATGGCTCAAAACGTTATCGGATATGGCCAAGAATCGTAATCAATGGCGAACGTGTTGCAATTTCCTTCTTTCTTCCCTTCCTGATGATAGTTAACGAATGCTGTTTGAACTTGTTAAACATGACTGTTTTGCTTTCAGATGAAGTTCTTTATCCGTTCTTTGCTTATATTTTTTACTTTTAATCTATATTGTTTTATTATTATTGTGTGGCGCATCTTTCTTGGTGCCATATTGTACCAAGTTTTTTCTGTGTTTAAATAAATAAATAAATAATTTATTATTTCTATTGTTATTATTTTTCCCTTGGGTTCCGAGTGGAACATAGAGACGGCTTCGACAACACATGTCCACTTTTTTCTACTCTCTGCCCTCCTCTTCAGCTGCCTGACCCCACAATTCCTCATAGTCTGTCATCTCCTGCTTCAACTGAGACCATCTCCTCTATGTCACAATAGCACCGACCAGCCACTCGTCCCTCGCTTCCCATTGGGATTCTACTCGAGCGATAGCCTGCCTTGTGCACGATTTCATTCGACGACTTCCTTCCTGATCAACCCATCTCCATTTTCCCCTACATATTTTTTGAGCAGTTGATGACTCTTGGTTGGTTTGTTCATTGACAGAGTTTCTGGTCGGCCGGCTGGCTGGCCATTTGATCTTCAGTATGGAACCAGTCAGCCATCGAAGGTGCGCTCCGTCCTCCTTTATCGCTGTGAGACATGGCCATTGAGAGCAGAAGACATGAAAATATTATCTGTGTTCGATCATAGGTGTCTGCGTTCTATCTCCCGCGTGAAGTGGTATAATAAGGTGAGCAATATTCAGGCTAGGCGTCGAGTGCTAGATAAGGCGGGGAAATCAATCGACGAAACTGTGAAATTACATCGACTGAGATGGTTAGGACATGTATTACGTATGCCTAGTCATCGCCTTCCTCGACAGTGGGCAATGTTAGCTGATATAGGGCCAGGCTGGAAAAGAGCTGCCGGCGGTCAAATGAAAACATGGCACCAGTCAATGAAATCCACAACAGTCAGTCTAAGCCACGTAGGAAGGTGTAGACTTCCTGACTGGTTGGGGTCCTCGGGACGGACAATGAAAACCAATGGTTGGAAACAATTGGTGACATGGCTCAAAATCGTTCTCAGTGGCGCAGATGCATCCACTCCGTGTGACTTATGATTTCCAATTAAACTATTTTGTTCTTCGTTATTACTATTCCTTTGTCTCTCACCTCTGTTTACTGTCTATATTATGCATTTCTACTTTCTTCTCTTGCTTTGTGTGCTACAAGGAGGGAGTGTGGCGACTTGAACTGCCGCACATATGTGCAAAGTTCTATGTCGAAAACCGACCGACCGACCATCGAAGGTGCGCCACCTGTGTATAAGAGTCTGAAGTGGCCTGTTGGAAATAATTTACGTGACGCACGCACAGTGCAAGTGACCGACTTGCTCACCACCCTGTGTGCTACACCTACCACCTACACCATCTAACAGGGGAGGCAGGACGCAGACACCTGTGATCAAACACAGCTAGCCTGGTTTTTCGTAACTTCCACTTTCAATGGTCATGTCTGGCTCACAGCCAACCATAAAGGAGGAAGATAGAGCGAACTGGCAGTGAGCAGTACACAAGCCTTTTGGTCGGCAGCCAACCAGCTAGCCAGTCGAATATCACGTCTGTTAGGCCAGAGATGGCGTAAGCCGGCTGGAAAACGTCAAAGAGCCTTGTGTATCTGTGTGCTTAGATTTCGTCAGTGATCAACCCGTTCCCGTTGTCTGTCATTAAGTTAAGAGTCAATGTAATCCAATCCAATCCAGTCCTGTAACCTCATCATCCTACATATGACAGCAGCAGGAGCGAATCGCTTGCATGTCAAACATTCAGAGGTTGCTGCTCACTTTTGACATGTCAAATGACTTTCTCTATCTCCCTGTTTCTAGTTTAAATTCAGCTTGAAAATTTATCCCCGTCATCATCCTCATTATATCTTTGGTTTCCATTGAATATTTGTAGGTTTGGGCTGCTCTACTCGGTGTTTATCCCAATCGAGAATTTGAATCATCCTATCTGAAGACATTACATGAAATCAACAAATTAGGCTTGGAGTTATCATTCACAGATGAATTGAATAGCAATAATAATAATAATAATAGTAATAATAATGAACAAAATGTTGACAGCAATAAAGCCAATACTGTCATCTATGGTCGATTAGATGAAAAAGTTATCAATCAGATATCAGTGGATCTACCACGTTGTCATGCTTATGATCCTTTGTTGGCTTCACCAATAGGACAATCAGTTCTTCGTCGTGTTCTACTAGCCACCTTATTAATGAAACCTGGTGCTTTGGACTATACTCAAGTAAGTGAAAAACAAACAAACAAACAAAACAACTTTATGAACACAGTGTGCTATATATTCATTTCTACTTTCGTTAACTTTATGCTTTACCACCTCTCTTGCTACTGCCTAGTGTACTAACCGGTCATCTGTGATCATTTGAGAACCATCCCCTAGGTAAAGCTTGTCTGCAGTCATTCGCTATGATTTTGAATCTCCTTTGTTTTGTACGCGTCTGGGCGTGTTAGAATTCCACCAACGGTGCACTGACTGATGATCACACTCTGAAATCAGTGGGCAAAGTCTTCTGCACTCCACTTCAGCGTAAACAACGTAATTTGGATTGTCAACACGTCAGCTGGAAGTCGTCAGAGTTAGGTGTTTCTATTTGGTTCAGAAACGTTGTGTACATCAAGAAAAGCAATTCCAATAGACTTTCTGCAAGCTTTTACCAGCAGCATATTAAAGGTCAGATGACTGGCCAGAAAGGAGTAGAAGCAAAAAAAAAAACTACTGAGGAAAACTACTAAAATGTAGGTAGTGTCCTTTCCATGTAGGCCTTCGGTAAATCGACCTCTGGAGACTATCATCTTCCAGGTGTGTTGGATGGCAATGTCGAGGAAATGGAACGTTCTATCATTTTTTTTCGTGTCTCATAGTAAATTCAACATTGGCATGTGAGTCGTTGAATAATCTCAGTATGTAGGAAGCATGACTTTCAGTGTTGCACACTACAAATGTATCATCTGTAACATATCAGCAACAAGAAGTTGTTTCGTCGATTGGAGGCTTCAAGGTTGGGTTAAGTGGACTGTCCATAGCTACATCATCTATATGGCGGTAAAGAATGTTGTCAAACTGGAATTGCACATCCATGGTAGTAGATGTAGCAGTAGACGTTTGAGTTCCGACACTGGGAGTGGAAGAAGATCAGACTGCTGACAAATGATCTCAATAGTTTCGTTGATTGGAATCATTGTGAACCACGAGGTTGCATCAAATTACGTCATGAACAACATATTTGAAACGTTCGTTGATCAATAGAAATGTAAATTAACAACGAATCAGAATAATTGATTGTCAGAAGGGAGACAATTATAATCATCATTCATGGAGTGAGAATTCAAACAGTTTCATTTTAGGCTGAAACCTGCGGTGAAGGGGGATGTTGTCTAGATAGGGGGGGGGGACGATAAAAGCTTCGCGATTGTACTAACTCAGATAACACAATCAAATCAAAATACGTAAAGCGAAAATATTCATTCAAACATCTATAAAACACGAAATAATCGAGCCAGCAAAGAATATCCTTTTCGATAACTTCCTCTTCTTCTCGCTCTACAATTATATATATCTGTGTGTGTTTATATACATAGAATATTCTAGATTAGTAGTCAGTAACAGTATAAGAGTGCTTTTTAAATAATGTCGATTTGCAAAGTAGGATCACGATGGAATCACCACAGTTCATTAAAGATGCTTAAATAATAATTATAATTATAATAAAGATATAGTAGCAAATAGATTATCAACTAAAATTATGAAAATTCCACCAGAATTCACGATCATTCAAACCTGGATGGCCAAGCGTAAGGATAATGTTTACAGATATAAGTATAAAACTTGGGCACTGTGGAGGTAGAGTATAACTCCATTATGGATAAGATTTCATTTTGATAAATCACACAGTGCAGTGTTATACAGTTATATTAACTGATGACCACGTTTCGAGCACAAGTTACTGCTCATAATCATATCAATCTACTCACACAACTTTTTCCTTCATTTGTATACATGTGTGGAATTCACCAGATATACCCGCGAAGATGAGTAATTTAGAAAAAAGGTCAGCAATTGCACTACATGCATTAACACACAACTACACAATAGCATGGTGGGAGAAGGTTAAAATTCTAAGAAGTGATCTAGATAGGTGGAGAGAGAGAGATTGATTACTGAATCCTGCCTGGTTCATTGAGTCTACACCCAACACATGCAACAGAAATGACTCAATGCAAATAGCAGAAATATGCATGGAAGATATTATTACCACCAGTCAGTCAAATCAGAGGAGGATAATAAATAATCTTAAATTGTATTCTATTTCAATTCACGTACATCACAACATTCTAACAAGTTACTTATTATGACTATAAAAACACTCGTCTTATTTCCCATCTTATTATTGTGATTGATCAATAACACTCATATCATTATCTCTAAATGTACATTATCTCATATTGATTTTTATTCCAATATCTAATCATCAATTCCACTCATGTTTATAAATGAAGGAAAAATTTGTGTGAGTGAGTGACTTGATATGATTATGAGTGGCAATAATAAATTGTGCTCGAAACGTGGTCATCAGTTAATATTACTGTGTAACACTGTGTGATTTATCAAAGTGAAATCTTATCCATAATGGAGTTATAATGTTTATAATCTATAATTCAGTCTCATCTGGACTGTAGAAAACTAACTGCTCAACCCAATGATTAACAAACATGCATAGATTTTGAATGTAATACAGCTGGGAATGATGGTTTTTCAAAGATATTGCAAAGGTAAACTATAATAAACCATTAGAGAATACTTACGTATTCATAATTTAAAACAATTGGTGTTCCCTTTATGAATTTAGATAAAGCAATAAGAAGATGTAATTTGTCTGTCTGAATCGTGTGTGTAATGTGCATATTTGCGCGCAACACACATTTCGAACAATCTGATCCATCACACACACGGGCTTGTCATAGGAATAGACATTTGTGGAAATAAGAAAGAGTTAAGAGGTGGGTGAGAAAATAGACTTGACTGCTTAGGTCAAGTTAAAAGGAGGACATATTGAATATCAAAATAAGAATGAAGATGAATGACTAAACCAAATAGCAGAGGTAATAGTACATCTGCTATGGTATCAAAACAAAATTTACCATGGAAGGTTTGATGTGATGATGTCCTTTTAACTTGACCTTAGTAGTCTATTTACTCACCTCTTAACTCTTTATTAATTTAATATATATTCCTATGACAAGTTTGTGTGTGATCAGATTGTTCGAAACGTGTTGTGCAAATACAACATTACACACGATTCAGACAAATTACGTCTTCTTATTGCTTTATATATGTCCAAACCAAGTTCACTTTTAACGGTTTGAAAAAATTTGGGCATTGGGTATATGATATTCATTATAAATAAGGGTTTTTTGTATTTCCCAATGAATGAAAAACAAAACGATATTGTTTTTACTGACGTTTCGCTATTTAATGCTAATAGCTTTATCAAAGTGTTATTAAACCAGAATTTACAAAATCCACTCAGCATATATACAACAAAGAGTTAAGGGGTGAGAAAATAGACTTTGGTCAAGTTAAAAGGACATATTGAAAGTAAAAATAGCAATGAAGATAACTAAACCAAATAACAAAGTTAACAGTACGTCTGTTATGATATCAAAATAAAGTTTACAAACTTGATCATTGTTCGTCTGTCCGGGGTCATTTTACGTGGTCAAGCTGGTCAATTGGTAAAGATAACAAAACCAAGTGTAGATTGTTGGATTTCCTTTATCTGTATTCATAATTGTCAAATAAAATATCTGAAAGTTTATGAAAAATATTCTCCTCCTACTATTAGTGGGAAAGTAATAACATTTTTTTGTTTTAGAAAAGAAAAGGCGTTCAGCAAAGAGTTACTCTTTTCGGCGATATCATTCTCAAGCTGTACAAACCGCAAATTTATAGTAATTTCTCTTGGCAACAAAAGGAATATTTCCAAAGATGTGTTAATGCAATTGTTAATTTTTTGACAACGAATCACGTAATGTAGAAGGCGTTAATCGGTTAGAAACTAAAATAAAGTTACAAAAGTAGGTTGGGTGACGTAATCTAATTGATAGGGTTCAATGAAAAATGAATGAGAGTCAAGTTAATAATCTGAGTAGAATTCACTTGAAAATGAATGAGAGTTAAGTTAATAAGCTGAGTAAACGAAAATGGAGTTAGCAACAGTGGTCATGAGGGTAGAGATTTAATAGAGGGTGGGGGTAGAAAATAATGCAGTTAAGAAACAGACAAACAAAGAAGAAAGAGGTGAGACAAAATTACGTATTTGGTGTAGATTTAGTCTCACCTCTTTCTTCTTTGTTTGTCTGTTTCTTAACTGCATTATTTTCTACCCCCACTCTCTATTAAATCTCTACCCTCATGACCACTGTTGCTAACTCCATTTTCGTTCATTTTCAAGTGAATTCTACTCAGATTATTAACTTGACTCTCATTCATTTTTCATTGAACCCTATCAATTAGATTACGTCACCCAACCTACTTTTGTAACTTTATTTTAGTTTCTAACCGATTAACGCCTTCTACATTACGTGATTCGTTGTCAAAAAATTAACAATTGCATTAACACATCTTTGGAAATATTCCTTTTGTTGCCAAGAGAAATTACTATAAATTTCCGGTTTGTACAGCTTGAGAATGATATCGCCGAAAAGAGTAACTCTTTGCTGAACGCCTTTTCTTTTCTATGACTGAATGGGAATTTTCAAATTACTTTTTTGTTTGTTTATTTTTGGTTTTTTCAACCTTTCATTATTCCTAGGGTATGGATTCTGTGGCTGCTGTATTTGTGCGTATTTGTTATCCAGACGAGGCGTTAGCTGCCGCCTGTTTAAACGCATTCCTGTCAACTAAACTACCGGGATTTTTCTCCTCTGGTGGGCTAACCTTAGGCTTAAAGTCATACTTCAATACACTTCTACGACTGTTGGCCTTTCACTTACCTCGATTAGCTGTCCATCTAGTCAATATTAATGTCCCGTTAATTGGATTGACCACCGGTTGGATTTATACACTGTTTGCGCATGCTATGCCATTGGATCGTGTTGAATTACTCTGGGATACAATTATGCCTGGACCAGCGCTGTTATCCATGTTTTTTTATATTGCATTTTTTGTTCAATTGGACAGGCAAATAAATTTTGAGGTAATTGATTTTTTTTATTTTTGTGTAATAGAGAGGTAGGCAGTAACAATTTAAACCAGTCTGCATTGTCATATAAGATTGGAACTGGAGCATTCGTCTGACTGAATCACTGACTGGCTGACTGGTTTCAACGTAGAACTTGGCGCTGATGTACACCAGTTCCAGTTGCCTCATTCCATCACTCCCCCACACAAAGCAAGAGAAGAGAGTAAATAGAGATTTAAAAGAGATACAGAGAGATAATAAAGAGAAATGTGAGTAAGGCAAAAAGAATAGTAGTGATATAGAAGGGCATTAGAGTTTTATTGGGTATGAGAAATCATCACGAAGAGTAAATGCATCTGCACCAGCGCCAGCCATCACCGAGGACGATTTTGAGCCAGCCAACATCACTGACTGTCTCCAGTCTTCACTGGCTCTCACCACTATCCCAAGGACCTCAACCAGGCTACGTGACTGATTGGCTTAAAGTATGTGTTGTGGATTTCATTGACTGATGATACAGCCATGTTTCGGTTTGACCACCACCACTAGCTGACTCCTATCCAATCTGATCCATCCATCGTATGTCAGTCAGTGGCTAACATTGCTCCGCTCGTTGTCGAGGAGGGCGATGGCTGGGCTGGCAGGTATGCGTGACTAACACATGTCCTAACCATCCATCTCGGTCGATGTAACTGCTTCACAACCTCATTGTCGATTGATTTCCCCTCCTCCTCCTGCGTCCTTACCTAGCACTCAACCGGCTGATGTCTCAAATCAATATTGCTCACCACGCTGTCTGTTACACCCACGACGGGAGATAGAACGCAGATACCTGTGATCAAAGACAGCTAGCTAGCAAGCTAGCCTGGGTTTTCATGTCTTCCAATGTGTGAATGGCCATGTCTCACAGCCAGCCAGGCAGTCAGTGAGTCAGCCATAAAGGTGGACGGAGTGAACTGCTGAGCAGTACAGTACAAGCGCCCTTTGATCGACAGCTAGCTAGCCAGCTGGATATCACGTCGACCAAGTACGCCAGAGATGGCGTAAGTTAAGTTTTACAGCAAATGTAAAATTCCAGACGAGTTTTGTGTATCCGTGCTGAGATTTCGTCATCAGTCATCTCGCTGGTGTTTGCTGCTTGGATGCAATTTCCTAAATAGGTAAAGTGGTTAACGTGCTCGACTAACCTCTTTACTCCGTATCGTTAAGCTAGAGATCATTCGTCTGGCTAATTGGTTTGCGTATTGAACTTTACTGTTCGAACTTTCGACACTGCATCACACATTCATTCCTATAATCTCCAATGTATGCATTTCATGATTTTTGAATTGAACCCCAATTTTCTGCATTTGTCCATCAAATTTGTTAAGGCGAATGCAAAGACCTTCCTCCTAGAAGACTTTTTCTGGTGGAGTATAAAAGCATTCTGGAGGAATCTCAGACGAAATCCTATATCACTACTACTGTGGTGAGAGCAAGCTGCTAGCCAATTGGTAGACATTGATCTACGCTGATTGGTAGAAATTAATCCAGGCTGATTCAACAACCGATCACAGCTGACCTAGACGTGGACAAATATGATTCGCAGACAAGTGGCTCGCATTTCCGAGAAATATCGAAAACGAGAAAGCAGAAGACTGCGTTTGTTTGCAAACAACCAATCAGAAGACCGCCTTCTTTCTGCGGGCAGAGCCTTATTAATGTACGTAAAATACATATAAATACCTGTTGGTTTTCGTAATAAAACTGATCTGTTGCCTGGCCCTTGTCTTCTGTTGTTACATTTGGTGTCGCTGCCTACCGACAAATGGAAAGCCTATGCCCTGCAGTTTTTGATGGAGACATATGGATCTTCGCGCAGGACTTCGAGGCTTCTTCGCAGTTGAGTAGCGTTCAAGATCTGTCAGCGATGAGGCTGCTACTTGGGACGCTGCTGGGAGGTCGGGAGAAAGCAGCATATGGAAGTGTGAGGCGAAATACCTACGAATGTTCGACAGGGTCAGGCAAACAGTTTCCAAAGTGGGAAGGACCATATATGGTCACGTTGAGATGGGGTTACGCAGACACAATCGCAATGGTAAACACCGTTAAACAAGTGGACATCCGCAAGCGCCGAGATTCCAGACAGCAAGACAACAGAGCAAAGCCCCAAGAACCGAGAAGACCGAGCCGAATTCAGTCCAAGCTATTTGACGGGGGGACGAGTGTGGTGAGAGCAAGCTGCTAGCCAATTGGTAGACATTGATCTACGCTGATTGGTAGAAATTAATCCAGGCTGATTCAACAACCGATCACAGCTGACCTAGACGTGGACAAATATGATTCGCAGACAAGTGGCTCGCATTTCCGAGAAATATCGAAAACGAGAAAGCAGAAGACTGCGTTTGTTTGCAAACAACCAATCAGAAGACCGCCTTCTTTCTGCGGGCAGAGCCTTATTAATGTACGTAAAATACATATAAATACCTGTTGGTTTTCGTAATAAAACTGATCTGTTGCCTGGCCCTTGTCTTCTGTTGTTACACTACAACTCACGTACTACACTGAAACGACACAACCTGCGTAGGAAGTAACTTGTATCATTTGTCTAATTTGTCTATTGTTTGGTGCAAACTGAATACTATCCTTCAGTCAAGTTTGCAATGTGGCCACCATACTACCAGGTGGCTCGCCATCATGGTGCACCGAATAAAGGACTAGACGCATCCAATACATTAGGACTACAGGAGGTTAATTGTGAGCCATAATAGTTCAATGGTAACGCCTCCAACTTCAGCAGTGGGTGGTGTGACACAGGTTCGATACACCTAACTGTAACTGATGGTGAGTTCCGATAAGCACGGAACCTAGGTCTATGTATAGAGCTTCCTACCGATTGACCCTAATCTTCCAATTACTGTAATTTTCTAAACCTTACTTAGCAATAGGGCTATTAGTGTGTTTTCAAGGGAAGAATAGACTGGTCACCTTATTGATGTTAGTGTTACATATCATAAGTGGGATGATACAAGTCCCAGTGTACCACGTATGCATATATATATATATACATGTGATATTCCAAGTTAGATGCTGTTTAGTAATGATGCCACATTGAATGCAAGAAGGCTACGAATACAAGGCTCGTCATGTACTTGTAACCTTCGTTTTGAGCTGCCAGAGAATCATTCACAGATCTTCGAGTTGCTTTATTTTTTGATTCTCTTTGATCTTATTGTTGTTTCATTTGGTGGTTCACTGACCGAATACTCGCCAACCAATGCCCCAAGTGATCTGGGTGGGGTGGTGGTTGACCCCCGGTTGATGCACACCTAAACCTCTCTCTTTCTCGCTCGCTCACCCATCCACCGATAGACTAAGCCCCTTGAAGAGGTTGGGTATGAAGCTAGCTAGCAACTCCACGACCCACCCACCCACCGCACTCACCTCCTAAAAAGAAATAACATCACTGTTATTTGAAACTTTAAAGCGAAACAGACTGAAGCCCTATCTATGTTCCATTTGAAACGCAAAAGAATTAAATATTTCAATTAACATTGTAACAGTAGAAGACAAGAGACTAGGAATACTGGGAATTCGGTATCGCTGCATAGCCAAATCATGTACACCTTATCTTCATATCACCATTTGCACAAATACTCCGTGTTGTGCTACTTCTGGACTTTCTTCATATTGTGTTCCTTTCACGTCTCTCATGTTTCTCCGCAACGCTGAATCATTTGCCTTCTCTGACTTCAAATCTATCTCTCTGCTATTTGATGTTTCTCTCTACCGATGGACGTCTCTTTATATACTAGTGTGATAATTGTTATCAGTGGTACATGCCACAACATGATTATGTAACATTAATTAATCAATCGTTCTTCCATTTTTTTAGTCCTTAGGATTAGAGAAAATATGTACAATCTTATCAAATTTTCCGGATATCAATTTGGATAAATGTCGAACTGATGCGCTGAAGCTAGCACTGGCTACTCCTCGCAGTTTAACAACTTGGTCAATTCCAAACAAGAAGTATTTAGAGCAGAAGTCAGTAAGTGCTGAAGAATTACTGATGACTGGACAATCGAATTCCGTGGAAAAGGAATTTTATAATTCAAAGGAAAATGAACCTGCAGCTTGTGATTTCTATACAGTAAGTATATATATATATATAAACTTGAAATTCCTAAGTAAAAACTAAATAAGTGTAATTTTCTGAGCAGTGTTCATTAGTTTTAGAGTCTCCTGTCACTAAATGACATTTGCAAGTATGTTAAAATTGTTCTTTACATAAACTGAATTCATTTGTGGAGGCAGTACGCATCTGATGAGGATCCAATGAAGTAAATGGTGGTGTGGAGTGTACCACCGATAAGATTTATCAACAACAGACCTCTTGAGACAAAGCATGTACTGGCCAGGTCTAAGAAAAGATATGGTAAAATATGTACCTTGATGTCCACAGTGCCAATTGATGTAAAGAGGTCGGTGCATAAAAACCGCCTCTGCAGTCAATTCCAGTTGCGGCAGTAGATGACCTGTGGTTTGTAGATATTATGGGTCCTTTTCCGCAGACATCCAGTGGCAATCAATAACCCCTGGTGATGACGCCGTCTCGATCCCTGATCAATGTACGAGAAGTGTGACTGACTCAGCAGTTTGACACATCGTTGCAGACGTATACGGTGTACCAAAATACGATATTGACATATCACGGTCCTTGTTTTAAATGTGAAGAATTCACTTGACGTTTGCAACAGCTGGCAATTAAAAAGAACCGAAGAACATCATACCATCCACAAACGACTGGTCTGACAGAGGAGAAAAATAAGAGGAGTGGCCGGCCTCCTCAAACGGACGTAACTGGGAAACATAGTCTCGATCGACTCCCCTAGCACATCGTGCTTCCACCCAGGATACAACAAAGGAGTCACCATTTCAATTGATGTATGGAAGGGAACCATGACTACCAGTACACAGCACAATTTGGCCCCTCCATCAGGAGTGGACAATGAACAGGACGGCAGACGGAACGGAATAACGCCGTCAGTAATGTGAAGCGTAAAGAGAAGAGAGACGCCGCGAAATCAGATCATGGATGAAGATGAGATGCGATGACGTAAATTGTAGAGATGCGTGCCAGGTTTACGGAAACTCCTCCCGACAGACATATTCCCGTTTATATGATCAAAGGGGGAAATAAACAGAAACGGGTTAACATCAGTCAACTACAGAAATGGATTCAGTGGAATATGGAATCCGGGACCAAGGTAAAACAGGAAGGGGTAGAACCAAGAAGGTTGGAGCGGCTCCTTTCGAAACTATTTGATGGGGGGAGGGGACGATATTAGTGTGTACTACTGATAAGATTTGTCAGTAACATATATATATAGAGAGAGAAAGAGATGTTCATCGAATAGTAGGGAGATCGATTTGACGTCAGAGAAAGCAAATGATTCAGCGTTGTGGATAAACATGGGAGGCTTGAAAGGAATACAAAGAAACATACGTTATGGCTGAAGTCCAGAGGTTGTCCAACATGGAACGAAACTCTGTGATTTGAAGATAAGATGTGCATAATTTCGCTGTATGGCGACACCAAATCCCTAATAAACATTCCTTTATCGAGTCTCTTACCTTCTACCGTTTCAATGGTACCATATATTCTTATTCGTGAACAGTGAAATTTTTCTAGTTGATAAGTGCGTCGGTGGCACAGTGGTTAGGACCCTCGCCGACCATGCACATGGTCCGGGGTTCGATCCCCTGCCGACGCACACCTGATATCTATGGTCGGCCTGCAAACTTTGGGCTACCGATACCACATGCTGAAAATTCCATACCTGTAGCGAAAAATCCGGTAAGGAATCAAGGTGTAATCAAAAATAATAAAAATAAAATAAACAGAAGTAAATTACTTTGGCTTATCTACGCACCTTATTTTTTTATCTCTGTGTCTAGCGTTTATCATTGCCAAACGCATGGCCAGATCATTTGGAATATGATTATTCAGCAGTTTCAGAAGAGATTGATGCCAATACTTTGCAAAGTATGTATGATAAATACAATATCTCATCGAATGCATCTAAACTGGTACCGTTACTCAGTGTTAAAGATGCTTTAGAGCACATACATCGTCCAGATTGTTTGGTTCTAGACTTACGCAACGCCAAGGAATATAATAAGTAGGTATTTCTACAAATTATTGTGTTATTTTTTCTTAGTCTCACTTTTTCTGTTGTTTTATTATTATTATTTTTTCCTTTTGAGTAATTTCCAAATTTTCAAAAGAATGGATATTGAACAAAGAATAAGTACTCTTTTCGATAACTTCATCATCATCAGGCTCTACAGTTACATATCCATCCATTATAGAGAATGAATGAATTAGTGTTATGATGCTGTTTAAATAACATCGAATCAATAATAATAATAATAATACCAGTGGATTACAGTTCAATAGCATCAACATAACAATACACACTGAATGTCAGTTGAATTAGGAAAGATACTACCACGAATTCATGAATTTATAGTCTCTACTGAAGGCCGGTTAGGGCTGGACTGGACTTGCTTCTTTTGAACACAGAACACTGGTTGTTTGAGGCGAATTGCAATAGCCTCTGCTGTTTGGAGCATTCGGTGCTTCGATGATGAGTTTGGTAATTTTTTAGGCACCCGTTAGATGATGATAGAGAAGGATTTTTCAACGCTGGCTTTGTGGCCGGTTTGCGCCAGATGGTCCAATATCGAACTGTTGATGATGGTTTTCACTACACCTTTACTTAGCCATAGTGGGAGATGTTCTCTAGTGAGCACGAAAAATCAAGTTCCTAGAGCAACAACGGCCGACAGTCGAGGATGTTGGTGACCCCGTGGCAAATCCACCAGTTTGTTTTTATATATTCCCTTGGAGGAAGTCAGGCATAGCTGCACTCCCAGCCATCATTATGTCCTCAAGTGGCACTTTCGTTCGAAGTTCAAGTTCGTTTCTGACTGACTGACTGACTCTATAGCCATATTTATTATCGGTATACGTGTATATAAACTGACAATGTCAAAACTAACCAATTTTTCTCTTCATTATCTAATCTGTGTTTTAGTTCATAAGAATTTGTTAGTCTAGATTTTGCAGTTTGATTTTAACCATTTTTTTTTTAAAACTTTTTTCAGGTTTCATCTTCCGAACAGTATTCATTGTGATCTGTCAAAATTAATAATTTCAGATTCAGCTTTTGCTACTACTACTACTACTGCAGACAGAAACGATGCACTTCCATGCTGCGTCAACTCTTCTAATCTATCCTTAGAAAACTGGGAAATGATCGATTATCCAAGTGGGAATCGTAGCCGACCACAAATTATCCCAGAATTTTTAGCCTTTCTAATGAATGAAAAATTATGGCGTCAAACAACACAGGCCAGACAACAACATTTAACCACCAGTAGTAGTAGGAAATCGAGTCAAGGCACATTAAGCGATTCAGTGAACAGTAGCCTACCGTGTTCCCCTGGTCTCCTGATTGTATTCGGTAATGATGAACAGCTATCATGGCATTTAGCCTACTGGCTTATAGAACATGATATTGATCGTGTATGCATTCTGTTCAGTGCTGTTGATGGTGTAGCAAACTTTTTAAATTCATGTTGTCGTCAATAACTCCTCAGTGAGTGAGTGAGTGAGTGAGTGAGTGAGTGAGTGAGTGAGTGAGTGAGTGAGTGAGTGAGTGAGTGAGTGAGTGAGTGAGTGAGTGAGTGAGTGAGTGAGTGAGTGAGTGAGTGAGTGAGTGAGTGAGTGAGTGTGGTAGTGAGTGAGTGAGTGAGTGAGTGAGTGAGTGAGTGAGTGAGTGAGTGAGTGAGTGAGTGAGTGAGTGAGTGAGTGAGTGAGTGAGTGAGTGAGTGAGTGAGTGAGTGAGTGAGTACTCTTATGTACTCTTATTTGCCTTAATAAATATAAAATGTTTTCTAATTTGAAACGAAAGGATCTTTTAAAAGTGTGCAGAGATGATGAATGTCCTAATTTTTGGCAACAAAGGTGGTTAATAAAGCAGGATTTGTCGAATTCAGCATATTTCTACAGAGCTCTTCACCAGCTGAATACTATTGTACATTATTATTATTATTGTTCTCTTGAGTTCCAAGTGGAACATAGAGACGGCTTCAACAACACACCTCTACTTTGTTCTGTTTTCTACTGTCCTCAGTCAGCTGAGTCCATGACTGCTCATAATCCTCCTCGCACCGATGACCTACTCGGCGTTCCCCATTGTGATTCCAATTGAGCAATAGCCTGCGTTGCGCGACGACGACCTCCTCAGTGCTTATACTATCCATCTGCATTTCCTCCTACATATTTGTCGAACGATAAGTTCTCGGTTGATTTTTCGATAATTCTTTTTGGACGGCTGGCTGGCTGGCCATTTGATCTTCAGTATGCTGCTGACAGCCAGCCATCGAAGGTGGCAGCTGTTGACAAAAGTCTGCAACTGGCTGTCGGAAGTCACTTTCGTGACATCAACTCCAAGTTTCTGACTCGTATGGAAGAACTGACTGCCTTCACTGACATTTGTGCTGAATAAAATCCGAATTTTGTTGTTTATGCTAGGTGAAGCAGAAGATTTGCCAACTGGTTTCAGGTTGATGAAGGTGTATCGTGCCTTTCCGATTCTGGCTGCCTGTCTGGTTGGCTGGTTTTGACATCTTCATCCATTCCGACCGAATGAATGCCTGTGGTTGAAACGCTGTTGGCTGCCTAGGCTAGATAAGATGAGTGAAGGCAGGAAGTGACCTTTGTCAACCTCTTTCCCCACTGATGACGATTAGAGATGTGTGTTTTTGTTGTTACTGTTTGTGGGGGTCGGTTGGTTTGTTGGTTATCTTCATCACCTCCCCTAATCCAACTTTTCTATGCTCATCACATGATGGAGTCAGTCTTGTCTTCAATACCAGCCAGTCGACCAGATTCTTCATCCAGTTTCTGCCTGCCTGATAGTCTTCGAGTTGGTGTTTGTATAACATTCAACTGCATAGATCATCCACACGCGAAATCCACATCTTCTAGAGTCTTGTTATTGGTCTGTGCAGAGTCTTCCTACATTCTCACTCAATCACACCCAACACACAGTCTGATGCATAATCCAGTTCAATACAATTAAGAATATCATCGCTGGTGATAATAGGTAGGTGGCCAGCTAGCTTGTCCTTCTCCTGTGTCCCATGACTTGGAAGGCAGGCTTCACCGAGTTTTCCATTGTGGATGACCTTACACGAGGCATTTCCATATAGCCAACTGTTGAATGGGGTCAATAAAGAATTGCGGCACTGCACGCCATAGTGTTAAAGTAGTTTTCGAATTACTTCACAATCAACGCTGTCTGTCGAAGGCCTTTTTGAAGTCGATAAAGTCCAAATGGAGAGAGGTTTGACTGCTATTCTATGCTCTGTTGTCTTATGATGATGCGTAGCCCATGATCTATCATGTCTCACTCTTATGCCAGAACTCCTGTCTATAGCTAGTGCCCGAGCCAGTAATAGTATCCTTTCAGCCTCTTCGACAAAGCCCAGTGTAACACTTAATGAGGGTGGCTTACTTTGAGGTGTGTGGACACCGCTGTACAGCCTGCACAGCTTCGCTGAAATAATGTTCAGACCTAATTTGTTGCACAAATTGGACCACTTCCCCTGATCAAACCCGGCTTTTTGTTCAAGTGAGCTATCCTTGCTCACAGGTACATTAAACAGGATAAGGGAATTAGACCGACTGACCTCAGATTTAGGTTTGCCTTTTGGCTGCTTGTACTCCTTTGCAGAGTCAGTAACTATAGACTTCATCAGGTTTGGACCAGCCTTTGCAGTGTTACCAAAGTTTCGAGTGGATGAAAATGGTGATTTGGCAATTCTGTTTCCACCTAACCTTATAGGTATGACCTTGGGAGTCTCCACTTCATGAGGATTGGGATTTCCAGTCTGTTGGAGTGGAGTATCCCTCTAACTGATTTTATCAAGTTTAGGTAGTGTGGTGTTATCAGGTGGGGAGCTGCATGAAACTGTGTCGAGACACAAATGTGGCGTGCTGTGAAGGGCCTACGATTTAACATTTATAAGAGCCTTTTCTGATTGCTTGTACAATAATCGAGCAATTTAAGCTTTAGAAAAAGTGCTAATTTATGATAAATTACAATTGTAATTAGAAACCTAACTGACCGAGCCTGTAAAAATGGCATGCATTCCTTGTAAACTCACCCGTTTATACTAAGTGCAAATTATTATTTAATTAGTATGGTGACTTATTAATTCTTATTTAAATGTTTAACTGGACACCAAATGCTATGGTGGGCCGCCTGCAGGGCAAAGTCCAACACAGCGTCCGAAGGGATGCGAACGCAACGGAGACGTTTAGCCGACAAATCATAAAACTGAGGAATTTTTGCACAAAAATCACGTATATTTGCAAGAAAATGCATGAAAACACATTAATAAGGTTATCTTTCTCTGACATGAATTAAAAATACGTCCCAGTTATAATGAGGAGTATCAGTTGCTAAGTTAGACTAATTTCTTTACATGTATTCATCAGGGTGACAGAAGATGAGCTGCTTTTGTGGAACTTTCTTCTCTCTTATCTTGTTGTGTAGTCCTCCCCAAAGCTCTTGGTTTAATTACGATGTTTCTCAGAAAGAAGATCGACGACTTATTACCAGGAAAATGTATTTAATAAAACAAATTAAAATAAATGACATCAACTCCAAATCTATCCCTAGTCATAACCCTAACCTTAATGCTGACCCCAACACTAACCCCAACCTTAATCCTAACCCTAATCACAACTTTATCCCCCAATACTTATGTCAATACACAGGTCCAACTACACTGGACTTTACACTGTCCTCAGAAGACCTTCAGCAACAATGTGCAATAACCAACGCGAAAAATCAGAACACAGATCGGTGACTCGAGAATCCTTTATTCTTGCAACAAGATAGAACCAACCATAAGGTTATTATACACAAAGTCTAGGAATAAATGTCATAACAATAAATCACAATAATGCTTCTGATAGTATTTCTCCGTCTTCTAATGAACAGCGTACGATGGAACAATGACTGCAGTATCGGTGACTCCCACCAAAATATGGAGTTGGGTTTGAGTAAAAAACCATGGATTGGTCGTTCATTCTTCAACTTCACTGACAACTTACCTTAATCCTCATTCTTACACTGACAAGCTGTCAACATATTGTGGAATCAGTACTTACTAACATGATTTGTGCCGCTTAACTTGTAAATAACATTGATATTCCAGCTGTAATAATGACAGATGCCTTTGGTCAAGGACTAGCATGTGTTCAAGGTCATTGTTGCGTCCGCACTCCTGGGACGCTGTTGTCAAACTTCACCTCCTGCAGGTGATGTCATTGAGAACATTGCTGTTGGTAAACTAAAGCTTTACAAGCCACTTTTATACTTTTGTGAATAGCCCACCGTACCTATCACATGAAACGCAGCCTCCGGTTTTACGTGTATTTTTGATGAATTCAAGCAATAATGGTGCCTAAAATTATATCATGTAAATACATTTCAAAGTATGCTTACTCACATCATTCCACTTATTTGTTTTGCATGAATATCCTGCGTAAGCGAAAAGTTGTAAATAGGCTAACTCCATCTATATCGATGACGCCTGTAAACTGGCTATCCTCATGTACACAAAATTAGGATAAATACTGCTACTATACCTGTGTTTGATCATAAGTATCTATTTTTTATTTAATATGCTAAGTAGTTAAATATGTTGAGCAATATTGAGGTTGGGAGTAAAGTGTTAGGTAAGGAGGACAGATCGCTCGACGAATTTGTAAAGTTACATAAATAGATAGGGTTAGAACACGTGTCAAGCCATCGCCTTTCTCAGCGGTAAACATCAGCTTACATAAAATTAAGTCGGAAAAGAGTTAGCGATAGTCAGAGCAAAACCTGACATCAGTTCATGAAGTCGTTGAGAGTTAATCTGAAGAATTAAAGAAGGCATGCCTGGAAATCGTTGTCAGTACCGTGGTTGCATTCAGTCTTCCTGATCTACTATATCCACTCAACCGTCATGTTCTTCCATGCTACTGGCCCATCTTCGTCACTTTTAGGCCCATTAAAGTTCCGTGAAACATATTTTTTCTCTGCCTCCCTACACTCCATACAGTATGAAAAATGATCTGATGAACTTTTGTGCTAAGTTGTTCATTGCAACTCATTTAGGATTTATGGTCGCAGATGCTTGGTGTGGCATCTCGGTAGAGTGTTAGCTGATTTTACACTTATTATTGTCGTTCTCTAAGTACTCGTGTACGCCTTTTCCTAATCCCTTGAAAATGCGAGACAAAGTGCCCCAGGGAAGAACCACTGAATAATAACTAAGGAATACTCAAATAAGCAGTGGTAGGAACTGAAGTGAATTGAGCGACTTTCTATTGTTCCGGATTTTCAACTCCAGTGTGAAGTCAGTCAGTGCTACTATACGGATCAGAGACTTGGCGCGTCATAAAGAGCATCTGAAACAAACTACAGACCTTCATTAACAGTAGTCTTCGCTCAATACTCAAGATCAGATGGCCAGAAAAGATCAGCAATAGGGACCTATGGGAACAATTTCGTTTGTAAATACAATACACCACATTAATTCCAATTCATGTGCTATGTACACATATACAGAAATGATCAAGTGTAATTGCGATTGTGCAGCTCAGAGAATGGATTCGCCGAAGATAGGTTCTTTGCTAAAATGTTTGTCCTTATTTCAACGTCTGGATGGGTATTTCTCCAGTAGTCTTAGTTTTCGACAAAGCTTCCGCTAATTACATGTACTCTTGCCTGCTACGAAGTACTACTAGCCCTCGGTGAAATGTTTCTAGCTGTAAATATCCATCATAATATTACGATAGAAAACCTCCCCAACTGGGGAATGGGACGTGTGCAGCTTAGAAGTTAGGGTTTATTTACGGGATCTGACATAAGGAACATGTATATACCTCATTTTCAAATCAGAGAAGTCTCAGAATAATGTGGGACTAAGCACAGTGAGTAAACAGTGTATTCATCACCACTCATATTTCGCATAAGTGGAATGATTTTGTCCGTCTCCTTGAGCAGTTGCAATATCTTCGTGCCAAAATTCTTCCCTGAGCTCTCACAGGGCACGATACGTCTTAGTGATGGGTCCTCCCAAAACCACCTGCAACATTGCCGAAGTACTTTGTCAGTTAAAAGCAGTATAAGGGATGTTGTTACAAGTGCAAACTAAAGTAACTCACTTTTCGTATAGCATGCTGAATCGCTGACTTCCTTATAGCAATCATACGACTTTAATGCATAACAGAGTAAATCCCCCTAGATACTCCTGCACTCGAATTTATGCATTCATCCACCTGTACACTTCGCTATTTCGTAAACACTACATCTGGTCTGAGAGTCACGGCTGTCAATGGTAATTATGGATTGCATCATTGGCCAGGTCTCAGTCTTACTTAGGTTGTGAATATATGTAGTGGAACTTCTCTTTGGCATATTCTACAACTTCACCGACGTCAGGCGAATTTCTCACAATTGGTGTGATATTCCCCTTTTCATTCCCCAGACATGCATATGGAACAAGGATCACCTGCTATAAGCTTGTATTCATATCTGTGGCTACGTACTTTTTTACTGAGCTAGTGATAATTTCGTTCTCCTTGTAGCATATATGAAAGCCTGAAAGAGAAACAGTGTATTTCGCACTGCAGAAGAAGTTATTGCAGGTTTTCTGGATTGTCATGCAAGCTGAACTTCCAGCTCCTAGCTTCATCCCATAGCTGCAAACACAGACTGCTAATTTTTAAATTTAAACTCTACAGCTTGACAGTTCCGTAAGCAATTCTTCATTAAATAATATGTATGAGTTGCCTTGGAATACTGTATTGTGTATGACAGGCCATCTACTTGGAACTAACTGGCACTCTGGTGACTGAACATAATTCCTTCAGAAACATTTTTATGTCCGCTGATATGGCGGCAGCAGTTTGCCTTTTTCTCCTGAAGTAAATGTGCTCATCATATATTAATGTAAATGAAAATATGCTGACCTTTTTAGAATTCCATGTTTCTAAGTTATCGAGGAAAATTACTGCCCACTATAACACAATTTGCTGAACTGTTCTCACACTAAAAAGCTTATCATTTGTTGAGGAATCCTGTCTGTTGCATTATGGAGTCAATCATCAGGGAAAGTAGGCAGCCTTGCCTTACTCCCGTCTTTAATCTGAAGACTTCACTGATATTCCTTTTACGAATCAACTGACATGTGACATCGGATGACTGTTGAGATAGTTGTGTGCACAGCGAAGTCTGAGTGCTGAAGCAGTTTTCATATTACCTCACAATCGACGCTACGAAAGGCATTTTCCAAGGCGATGACGTTGGGATGGAGGCTTGACTCCCACTCCATGTTCTGTTTTACGTACGTACGTACCACTGTGGTTCGCTTTTCATGAATCCAGATTGTTTGTGGTCAAGATTTGCATACAGAGTATCTCGTTGTCCCTCCAAGATGACTAAACTTGAACAGAAGCATTATTTTGTGTCAGTTTATTCAAAGTCTTAAGTCCCCTCCTTTTAGGAGGTTGACTAGGTACCTGTTCTTCTGATCAGCACATATCCTTGCTTCCAAACACTCTCCTATATTGTTTCGAGCATATCTGCTGGTGTCTCTGGACCCTGTCTCAATGCTTTTGGGGATATTTCATCTTGTTTTCGTGCATTCTGGCTTCCAGTAGCCCTATAGAATTCAAGACTTGTGCTTTTGTCAAAGGTTTGCTGTTCGCCGGGAGTTCTGTTGGCGTTGTTACCTTACGTATCAGAATGAAAAAATTATTAGGGTTCATGTACGCACCGCTCAAAATAATACCACTTTAGAGACTGAGGGGGCTGAAGTTCACGAATAATATAAATGTATACCAACGCAAGATCTAATACTCGCAACTTCTATAGTATTCGTTCCGTGTGGACCAAAGGCAAAGCGAAGCAACAGAATTGACCGACCATATTACGAAGTATATTTCGGGACCAAATTGGAGAACGAGGTGACTGCTCAACTAGCTAGGGATCGTGCACAAATGAACGTAACATGAAGGCGTGCCAAATGGCGTGGGTGCCTAACCGAAAGCCTTCAGATAAACAAATCGACTTAATCAGTGACGGTCAACATCCAGTGTTCAGTGGTGAATGCTGTGGCCACTACACTGGAATAGAACCATAAGACTCATGAAATAATATCCTACCTACTATTAGCGACCAATTCTCGCTGTTGGTGGAAAAAGTCAAAGAAACCAAAATGATTTGCACTAACTTTTGATTGTAATATTGGATGTTGAATGAAGATTGAATTTTGACAACACACCTTGTTTTCAGCCCGCGTATATTAACTAGCCGCAGCTTTCGAAAGGGTTTACCGCGTTAGTTGGACAGGTTTGAGGGAAATTATTTAGTTAAGGGTAAGTTAACCTGGACATCGTATTCAACTGTGGTTCCAATTATTTCTGTTTTTTAGACAAAGTCATTTACTGCGTTCAAGAGTTAGCAGTCAATTCATTTTCTGTCAAGTAATAATCCATGGCATCAGAAAGCAAAGATGACAGAGGATATGCGCCCAAAGATAGGTCAGTACATTAATATAAAATATTTTCAGGTATCGAATTGTGTATATTGTCCTGTTTATGTGTGGTTTGGGTGGGCTTCTGCCTTGGAACTTCTTTATAAATGCTCAAAGAGTGAGTTTTTTTCGACGTTGCTTACTCTTCAGTATTTTGATTACAAAATGAGGAACAGATCCCTTCCTAATGATACGGACTACTCAGACCCTAAGCATATGAGTCCCTCTCAAGTGTTATTTGGAAGTTTTATCGCAGTTTGTTCATTGGTACCGTTTGCACTTATGTCGGTCGCTAACCTGTTTTTGATGAAATGGTTAGATCTTTAAATTCTAATACTGATCATTTGTAGGTTTAATGCAAGGCTTCGGTTCATTGTTGGGAGTGTAGTAGTATTTCTTGTGTTTCTCATTACCGTAATTATTGTCCCTATAGACGTTAGTAAGTCAATTATTACTCTAAAAATGAAAATTGATTTTTAGGTGCCAATGCATTTTTGGGAATAACATTATTTTCGGTTGTGTTGCTTAATTGTAAGTCTTCTGAATTTTTAACTTCATTGTGTTACAGGTGGTAGTGCTCTTGTTCAAAGTAGTGTATTCAGTACTGCTGCAGTTCTTCCTTCCGAAAGCATGAAAGCTGTATTAGAAGGGCAGGTGAGTAATACAACTGTACTTTTGTTTTGTTTCTACACATACATATACTGTTACGAGTTTTTTTACGCTGTGGTGAAGTCAAAGTATCATAGCCAAAGTCAAGGTCTTCCAAAAGCTGACCAACAACCTATCGGACATAGTGAATGCTACGAAATGTCGCTCTAAACCAAGTCATGCCTGGCTTTTCAGAATTGAAGAGGATAGATAGAGTATTATACTTATTTACTAGGTACCTTTTCTGCAAATTTATCCTGTTCGATAGGGTTATGGCTTTTAAGATTATGTTTTAAGGTCTAGCGTTAAGGTTAGGTTTAGGGTTTAAGTTAGAATTAGGAGTTAAGATGATGGTTAGAGGTAGGAGTAGGCTCAAGAACAGTGTCGGAAATATCAATGGATCTCAAAGTACTATGACCTACCAGTCACCTGGATGAATGGGTATATCGTGCGTGATACTATTCCTTTATAGATCATCTGTGTATTAACTGGTAGACATTCTCACAACACATGCGACAACTATACAAGTGTAATATCAAGCTTGCAAATAATTTGTAGTGTATTTTTAACGATTATGCGACTTTCTTGTATTTGAATTCTGATTGGTTGTTCAAGGCTTTAGCTATGAGGCTTTAACTTCACCTCGTTGAGGAAGTTTGTGTTTGATGTTCCTCCAGTATTCCAATGTCTTTTTCAACGAACTAATCAATGTAAACTAAATTGATTTCTTTGTGCTCCTTTCTTGGTTGTGAGGGAAGGTTCCTGGTGTTCGGTAAACTTTTGCTTAGTTCATCCCGTGGCTTGACTGTCGTAGCTTTGGTTGACTCCAAAAGGAGCGGTGCTTGGATTAATTATATGTAGTTTATAGTAAGCGGTGTGTGTTAAGACTGTGTTGTTCTTGTGACTGTAGTTGATCCTTTCAGCAGTCAGTCGTCCGGCGTTATCGACAAAAGAAAAAAGAGATAATAATAATAACAGATATAATTAGTGTAGGTTATGCAGACTAAAAGACGGAACAAGAAACGAAGAATACACAATCATGTGTAAACTGGTTATTTTTCAGAATTATAGGGTATATTGACGTTTTTAATTTCTAACCCTAAGGAATATGTACATGCATTTATCAGACGAGTGAATATTAAATGTCAGAAGGCTTCAACTGTTTCTTCAATTCCATCGGAATTGTATCACAATATCCGTGAAATGTGATGATAATAATAAAATTTGGTGTTAGTATTTAATCGAAAACCACTGTATCTCTATGTGTTAAAGACCTGATTCACAATCATTTGAATACATTTAATTTCCAATCAGTTGTTAAAAGTAATAAATACAAATTATTTCCACTTAACCATCGATGATATATATGAATGTATATATGAAGCTGATTTTAATGAATATTATTTCTAACACCTTCTTAAATTAGTTTCTGAGACAAACTTGCTTCGCAGTTGCTACAGCTAACTAGCCAATCCATGTGCAACTGTCTTTTAGGGAGTTCGCTGGTATGCCAAAAGTTAAAGTAATTTCAAGCTAATAGAGATTTGTAGCTCAGGTGGATGATTTACAATTAAAAGTGTTCTCTGAGCTGGTTGGTTTAGTTGCGAAGCTTTCGTCGTCCTTCTGGACAACATCTTCAATAGAAAGTGGTCAATACATATGTAAAGATAGTAACCAGGAGACACAATTACATCACGCATGAAGAAATTTAAATCATTTCACTTTGTGCTGAATATGGCGCTGAAGATGTTGTCCAGAAGGACGACGAAAGCTTCGCAACTAAACCAACCAGCTCAGAGAACACTTTTAATTGCAAATAATTTCAAGCTATCGACATTGATAATTATGTGTGTATTGGAAAGGACGGTCACATACTTTTTATCAGTCATAGAAGGTTAGTACTACACGTACCATTGTTATCAAGTGCTGACTCGAAGATAAAAAAATATTTATGGTAAAATACAATTATCAGATATCCCCGTTCTGTTGAATCGGAATTTAATCAGTACACATATTAGTTTTGTAAACGCCAAAGAATTGTGAATCCATGCTGTTATTTGTCAAACAAAAGCTTCAAGAGCAAAATTAAACATCATTCAAAGAGTGATTACTGTGTCACTCACAAAACCATTAAACTGCTCGCAAATATAAACAGGAAGAATCCTAATGTATTGAAAGCTGGCGGTCTTCTAAAGTATCACTGGGCGTTTCAGTAAGATCATTTTTTTAGACATATGCGCAGCTCAGTTTTTAATGCTGCTTTTATGTATTTAGAAGAGCAGCACTTTTATGATTAAAGTTGAAAATAAACACATTCGCTCTTAATGTCTTGATGTTTCTTGCATTTCTGTATCCATTCTACAGAATAAATTAAGGGTATTGAAATCACACTAATTTTACATTGCTTTTATGAGCTATCCCTTAACGTTATCAGTTATCAGTCACGTGCGTAGGATGTTCCTGAATCATAAATTTGTAATTTTTCTGCAAACCCAGCTTCATACACTTATGCTTCAAGTGTGGCCTATTCTCTAATACAACTGAGTTGTATTCACCTCTCTTCAATTTCTATGTTGTAAAACTTCGTGTCACCGAATGTATTCACATTTTTATAATAATGTATATTCAATTCTCATAAATTTGGTATCATTTCTTTTTATTATTTCAGGCTGTTTCAGGAGTTCTCGCATCTGTGGCCAGTATCATATCTATTGCAGCGGCTTCTACACCTACCGCAAGTGGAATGGCTTACTTCTTAATCGCCTTGATCTTTATTGCCATTTCAACTGTGTTATTTTTAATGCTTCCTAGAAATGTAAGTTAATGTTCTGTTGCAACTTTATTTATTTTTATCTGAACTGTTCTAATATGACGACGTCAGTATATCTGTGGCAATATAGCTTAGAATTCCTAACAGTGTAATATAATAATAATAATAATAATAACCTTATTCCAAACCACAGTAATGATTATACAGAATTGGATTTTCAGCGTTTTCATACATACTCCTACAATTTAGCTCCTCTTACAAATACGTACATACCTAAAATTTAAAATAGTAATGATAATATTAATAAAGAAACCACTATAAACAGAATGATCGTGGAAACGTAGTGAAGTATAAGTAGATAATAGCATGGATAATACATGCAACAATAATAATAATAATCTTTATTTATATTTTGCAGTTCAGTTACTGATTTAAAAAGTAGGTTTATAAGTTCTTTTCGGACAACTGACTCTCTCCTCACACAAAACTAGATCTAAGTATGGTGGCATGGTAGAATTTTTATATTTAGTAGCTGTAACAGCGTAAATTCTCAAGAAGCTTCTTCTGGTTTCACTCTCCGGAGAGATACAAGGCAAAAGTTGAGGATAAGTAGAGAGGATGTTCGGTTTCAGACAAGATGACTTTAGCCAGATGCTTGCAAGAATTGAGTGGAAGTGCCTATCAACAACAACAACAACAATGTCAGTTAGCTGAGTCAAGTCAAAGGCGCACACACACAACACTAACCCTGCCTACTTGCAATCTTCAATGTTCTACACACTATATGACAAAGTCTTTTTTGAGAATGGGCAGAATACATGGATTAACAAATTGTAAGAGAAGACGTCGAGTTGAGTTATGCCAGTAGAAATTGTCTCAACTTCCTTAGTTTGTAATAGGTCAAACGAGAAATTAGATATCGGAAATCGACAGTATATGAGACGACGGCCAACAGAGATTCGAAGAGAAATTGGTGCCGAGACGAGAGACAGTTGATTCATTCCCTGTCACCACAGTGCCGTCAGTGTTACAGGAATCATGGGAGGACGGAATCAATCAGTCGTCGCACCCAAGTCTTCTCCGCATCGGAAAGTAAAATCAACAATATGACATTTAGATGGATTTAGTTTAAGACCGCTTAGGTGAGACCATTTGTTAACTTCAGACAAGAATCTATTCATCCTATAGGAACAATCCAAAGATATGTGGGTGTGTTTATTACCATAATCATACCAATCAACAAAAGACCGTATTTTTTTTTGAAGAAAAATATATATACTTATCAGGATTTCGGGGAATGTTTCACTTCCTTACGAAGTACTACTATATGATTGACCCAGCATTAAGCGAACTTACGTGAACCGGTTAGTCCTCACGGTTCCACTATTATAGACGGCACTGAACTTGCAACCAAATCGAATGCTGAATACCTTTGATTGTGTATTTCCTCTGATCATCTTTCCCAGTCTTCCCACATCATGTTAGTTAGTTTTCAGAAAGATATTTCGTTTCATGTTCTACGTAAGGAAGCTGAAACAATCTGGTATCATTCCGTCTCTGCTGTTACCGTTCGTTAATTCTTGTATTCTACCTATACTTCTTTACTGCTCCTCACCCCACCTTAATCTTCCCTGGGCTACCTGAGAAAGACTGTTTGTTATACAGCGGAGGGCACTAAAAGTCGTCAATAGGGAGAGTGAGTGGGGTGTTATTAAACCAACTCGTTAATACTATTGTAAACAGACATTTGAACTCCTTTAGGAAATTAGCAAATATTAACTCTTGTCAGACTCAGAACCTACTCTCCATACACATCTCTCTCCTTGCATCTATCTCATCGGGTAGGGAAACTAGAAGCAACTTTAGAAGACTGTATGCTCGGACGACTAAGTGCAAAAACTCTACAATACCTTATTTAGCCAGCCAGCCGGGACACATTTTGTGTGATGAAGAAAGTGTCAGGCAGGAAACTCCCAACTTACTGAAGAACTTGAAATATATATAGCCCCGTTTGTTTTTGTTACTCACTGTTACATTGTTGTCAATATTGTCACCTAATTTAATTTTATATTCACATTTGCTTATTGAACAATATTATTAATGTAAATGTCCTACTTTAATTATTACCCCTGTGATGAGGTTAATTAGATGCACTACTGTACTGAAAATTCCATATTTGTACTAAAAGTACTGTTCGGAATAAAGCTATTATTAACATCATTATTATAATCTAAAAGAAATTTCTATAACTTAAAGAAACTGCTAATGAAAAGCTGTCAAGCATTTCCAAGTGATTATCAGCTTTTGCCAGTGTTACTATTTCTCTGTTTCTTATTTTATTTTTTTTAAATTCATATTTAAATTGTTAGATTTACGTCGAGAATCAACATTAGTTAGATTAGATTAGTAGAAACCTGTGGCAGAAGGGGTGGTGGGAGAAGGAGGAGCACCGGACATCTGTTTCATCCTATTTTAGGACTCGTCAGTAATGTGTTCAGTCTGACAAAAATCTAACCATTGAGATGAATTCAAAATCCTCACAAATCCTCATAATCTGAATGTATAAATATATATTTATATATCAATCACCAGCTGCTGGATAGATTTTTTTGTGAAGCTGTACTGTGAACGAGAGAAGTCGTCACTGACCACCACCATGTGTCAAGGTGTGAAGTAAGGATGCTCACTGAAGGAATTGGTGAGTGCAGTGCGCTGTATCATGAATTGAAAAAGTTGGAATTCCAACGGTCACTAAAGTCTAATTCAAGTGACTGAATAGTCGTCAGCGAGCTTCCTCTCGTAACTGGAAGTCCCCGGATCCAATCCTTAGCTGGGTCATCGGTGGGGACTAGTGAAGACTTCCGAAATGGGTCGAAAGAGACAGCTATCCAGTGCTCCATTACTGCTTTTCAGTGATTCTATCTCTCGCTAACTGATGTTGGCTTCTCACAGAAATCTAACATTTCAGAATAATTCAAAATCCCCACAAATTATATAATCTGAAAATTCATTTACTTTGAAATAAGCAGGAATTATTAAAAAGACGATTACAGCGAAGAAAACTTTCCTCTCGACAAAGTCACCGTCAACTAGACAGCTGTACAGAATCATTTCCGGTCAAACGTTAAATTAATAAAATTACAAAGTGTAATAAACAGGAAGATCGGGTAGAATAGACACAATGAAACCAGAATTAGTGAAAAACTTAAGTGTTTGTGGAACTACGGATTAGGGATGTGGTAATAAGAAAAATAGGTAGGATGTAAGGATATATTAGTATTATTCCCTTGGGTTCCGAGTGGAACATACGGCTTCAACAACACATCTCCACTTTATTCTATTCTCTGCTGTCCTCTTCAGCTGGCTACCCCCACGACTCCATGTAACGTCTCATCTCCTCCTCCCTCCAACTCACACGATCTCCTCCATGTCATAATAAAACCGACCACGCACTCGTCCGTCGTTTCCCATTCACCTTCCATTCGAGCGACGACCAGCATATTGCACGCGATGTCATTCGACGGCCTCCCTTCTCATCATATGTGCAATCAATCCATCTCCATTTTCTCCTACTTATTTGTTGAGCAACTGACTCTTGGTTAGTTCCGTCATTGCCAGAGTTTTTTGTTGCTAATTCCTTCTGGCCGGCTGGCCACTTGACCTTTAGTATGGGGCAAAGGTAAATGTTGATAACCCTGGTGTCTTCTAATTTGCGGATAAATCTTTCGTCTTGTACTAGAGATTTCCGTGGGGATGCACAATACAATGAGTCTTATCTCATCTTTTCCAGCTTTGTCTTCGAACAGAGTTATTTAACCTAGCCTAGTTTTCTAGCCGGTCCCAAGCCCGGGTAAAGAGGGAGAGTTGAGCGTGGGGCTAACGACCCTACACCACAAAATCAATCAAGCTGCTACACAAACTTCAACGCACAAAAATATAAAAAATACACGAGATGTTCGGGTATATGTATAAAAACAAACCAAGGAATGCACTTAGAGAATTAGAATTTCTGTTATTTTTAAGTTTATAATTGCATTACTAGATTTGTTTTCTTATATACCCTAACATCCCACCTATTCTTGTTATTACTACATACCTAATCCGTAGTTCCACAAACACTCAAGTTTTTGAGTAATTACGACTTCATTGTGTCTACTGTACCCGGTGTTCATGATTATTACACTTTGTAATTTTATTAATTTAAGGTTTGACTGGAAATAGGTGTGGAACTTTCTCACACATTTACTCTATAAATACACGAATGTACGTACACCTGCCTAGTTGACGGTGACTTTGTCGAGAGAAAAGTTTTCTTCGCTGTAATCGTCTTTTTAATAATTCTTACGATCCCATAAGTATACTCCATGATTTGAAAAAAATATTCAGGAGGAAAGTCTAGCTGATTGTCATCCTACAGTAGACAAGGTATATATATATTTATACATATATATATAATATTACAGAATAATCTTCATTGATAATGTTATTATCGTATTATTATTGCTCCCTTGAGTTCCTAGTGAAACAAAGGGCTTCAACTACACGTCTCCACTTGCTTCTGTCTTCTGCTGTACTTTTCACCCGCATCCATGTTAGTCCATCCTGTTTCAACTCCTCCTCACACGATCTCCTCCATGCTACTCTTGGACGTCCCACTCGCCGCTTCCCTTTCGGGTTCCACTCGAGCACTGGCCTGACGCGCGATGTCACCCAGCAGCCTCCTCAACGAGTGTCCAATCCATCTCCACTTTCTCCTGCATATTTCTTGGGCGATTGGTTCTTGTTTCGTTTGTTTGTTCCCATAGTTTCTTGTTGGTTCTTGTTCTTGTTCTTTCCGGCCATCTGATCTTCAGTATGATGCTAGCGAAGACAGTTGTTGTTGATAAAGGTGTGCAACAGGCTGTTGGAAATATTCTTTGTGACCCGCCACCAAGTTTCTGATCCGTATAGAAGAACTGACTGACTTGACGTTTGTATTGAAAATCCGAATTTTGTTGTTGATGCAGGCTGAGTGACGAAGATTTCCAGATTGGTTTCAGATTGATGAATGTGTTTCTCGCCTTCCCGATTCTCGATTTGACATCCTCGTCCGTTCCTCCTGTAGTTGAGACAATGCTCCCTAGATAAGTGAATGTAGTAACCTCTTTCAAATCCCTCCCGTTGATGGTGATTGGCACTGGATGTTGCTGTTGTTGTTGGTTGGTTATTTTCATAACCTCCGTCTTGTCTATGTTCACCTGGAGTGCTGTCTTTGCTGCTTCTTCGACCAGTTTGTCGGTTTTCGCTTGTAAGTCTTCGATTTTGTGTGACATCGAACATAAGTCATCCACGCGCGAAATCCAGGTCTTCTAGGTGCTTCACGTCGGTCCAGGATATCCCTGTCTTCTCGTTTCCCACTGTCTGACGCATAATACAGTCCACCACAATTAGGAATATCATTAGTGATAATAAGCACCCTTGTCTGACTCGTGTGTTTACTCCAAACGCCTCACTGAGTTTTCCGTTGTGGATCACTTGACATGTGCCGTTGTCGTACAGCTGTTGAATAAGGTTGATGAATATTTGGGGTACTCCGTAGAACTTAAGTAGTTACTAAATTACTTCGCGGTTAACGCTGTCGAAAGCCTTCTCAAAGTCTATAAAGTTGAGGTAGAGGTTTGATTGGCATCCCATGCCTTTGTTCGATGATGATGCATAGAGTTGCAATTTGGTCAGCACATGATTTGCCTTTCCTGAATCCAGCTTGTTTTGGTCGGAGTTCTGCGTCCAGTGCGTCCTTTATTCTCTCCAGGATGATGCGACTCAGGATTTTACTTGGCGTCGACAGGAGCATGATTCCTCGCCAGTTCTTGCAGAGTGAGGCCCAAGTCGCCCTTCTTCGGTAGTTTCACAGGGTAACCTTCCCTCCAGTCAGTAGGCACCTTTCTCTCCTTCCAGACCTTTTGCAATAATGGAGTCAGCATATTTGCTGTCGTCTCTGGGTTCGCTTTCAGTGCTTCCGGGTGTATCCCATCTGGTCCAGCTGCTTTTCCAGCTTTCAGAAGCTTGATTGCATTCAAGACTTCAGCTTTCGTTGGAGGATTGGTGTTAGCTTGCAGTTTTGTTGGTGTTGGTGTTTTTTAAATACTATTTATCTGTTAAGTAAGATCAATGGAATTGCAGTTCAAGAAAGATTCTCAAGTTATAATAAGAAGCATAATTATGCAATAGAAAGTAGAATATCAAATAGAGTGAAAGAAATTCCTATAACAAAAAATTAAGGATTATTAAAACATTAATAGCTAGCTGGGAAGGGAAGCGCCTGAACGAACTGCTTCTTTTGGATACATAGATTAGGCTTTTTAATGCAGATTCCAACAGCCTCAGCAATATGTAGTAGTAGGTGAACTCTTAAGGTAAAATTAAGATAAGTTGGTCGGTATACGGTAGATGACTCTGAAAGCCACCTCGTTAACATCAATCTTGTCTTCTGTATCCACGAAATGGGATAGAATAGAACCTTTAATCGACTTTGTTTATCCCTTAATTATATATATATATATATATATATATATATATATATATATATATATATATATATATATATATATATATATATATATATATAATGGTAATTTTTCTAACCAGAGTTTTCTTTTGTGAACTTTTCAGGGCTACTTCAGATATTATTGGAAAGGAAGGGGTAAGTGCACTTGTATTCGTATTTTATTGCCAATAAAATCAATCAATTATGTTTCAGAATGTCAACATTAATGCGAAATGAATATCATTATTTTCTAAATTTTAAAACTTACTGTTTTATCATCATTATTTTGGCCCTTAACATTCCCAGTAGGGATCCAAGCTTCAGGTTTGCAGTTTCTGTAGCAGTTCTTTATTGGTTTTTTTTATTTTTACGGCATGAAGCTAGCTACTGCATGGCCCAGTCCTCCATCTTGACAGGGATTGCTGCCTGATTGGCGCTCTTTAGGAATGCGTCGCCCCCAGGGGCCGAATCTCAGACCGTATGCGTCGTTGTCGAGCGTTTTACCGCCAAGTCACTGATGGACTGGTGCTCAAGGTGTGTGTGTGTGTACACGAATCATCTCATGTGCATATTATTGCCCAAAATGATAAATTTGGTTAAACTGTCTGACAAGTCAGTTGAAATTATCAACTTTTATCAAATAAAGTGGTTAACAAATGATTTTCTGACTGTTCCCTTGGCGACATGAGATTACTGACTCACTAGTTTCAACGTAGAACTTTGCACATATGTACACCACTTCACATGGTCACACTCCCTCCATGTACCACACTAACCAAGAGATGACAGTAAAAAGAGATTCTATATATATATATATATATATATATATATATATATATATATATATATATATATATATATATATATATATATATAGGATTTTACTGGATGTGATCAATCACAAAGACTAAATGCATCCTCACCAGCGACAGCCATCACCAAGAACGATTTTCAGCCAGACAAATCGCCAATTATCCCCAGCCTTCATTGGTTCTCACCACCATTCCGAGGACCCCAACCAAACCAGTCAGTCAGGCAGTCTACACCTTCCTACGTGTCTGGCTGACTAGTTGGCCTAAACTAACTGTTGTGGATTTCACTGACTAACGATGAAACCATGTTCTGGTTTGACCACCACCATCACCATCACTAGCTAACTCCTTTTTAACATGATCCATCCATCCGATGTCAGTCAGTGGCTAACATTGTCCGTTAGTCGAGGAAGGCGATGACTAGGCTGGCGGGCATGCATACATGAGCAACACATGCCCTAGCCATCCAGCTCAGTCGATGTAACTGCTTCGCAACCTCGTCAACAGATTGATTTTCCCTCCCTCTTCCTTACCTAGCACTCGACCGACCGATGCCTCACCTCAATGTCGCTCGCTCACCTTGTTACACCTAACACGGGAGATAGAACGCAGACACCGATGATCAAAGACGGGTAGCTGGCTAGCTAGCTAGCCTGGCTTTTCATGTCTACCACTGTGTGAATGGCCATGTCTCACAGCCAGGCAGCTAGCCGGCTAGACATAAAGGAGGACGGAGAGAACTTCTGAGCAGCACACGCATGCTGTTTAATCCATAGCCAGCCGGATATCACATCTAACTAAACCAGAGATGACGTTGAGTTGAGAAATCCCACACGAGTGTCTCTTGTATCCGTGTTGAGATTTCGTCAGCGATCAGTCCTTTAAGGCTGATACGTAACACTTCCTAGATAGGTGAATTATATGATAACAACACTCATTCTTTTGTGGAATTACATATAGTGATTACAGTAATAATAATTTGCTTTATTCCAAAAACATTATTAATGAAATTGTGGAATTTACAGCATATGGTACAATATTCCATCTAATATTATCGGATCACATTGAAAACAATTATGAAGATAACATTACAGGATTGATAGTTAATGGCAGTTCTGATTTGGTGATAATGTGTTAGTAGCTAAGAATGTCAGTTAACTTAGGAGATAGTGTCATCGTAGATTGCAAATAGAAGAGCCGATTATTTTGCTAACAACATAGTAATTCATAGGTTTCACGCTTTACATTGTCTCTATTGCATAGAACACTGGCTGGCCAAATATGGTGTCGTTGAATTTCTATGCCTGGTAGTACGAGCATACAATCTTTGTACTGACTTCTGGCTCTACCAGATGAGATACAAGTGATACTAGGCGGGAAGAGTTGAGAATAGAGGCGCTGGGCTGGATCTTCAGAGTCAGATAATATGGATTTAGACCATTTCTCACACATATGAGTTGTTCAGATGTCTATCGACTAAGTTGCACACCACTTGCCCTACTGATGACAACCTTTGATACCCTTCTCCTGAGTATGACATAATCCTTTTTGAGTAAGTAGTCCAGGAAAGACTGAGGTGGGGGGTGGTGGGGAGCAGTAAAGTACAATTGGTAAGATACATGAGTTAACGAATTGTAAAAGTAGCCGGTTGAGTGATTCCAGATTGTCTTAGCATCTTCATGTAGTAGCTTAGATGGTAAAAATTTTGGAGATCGATAAAATATGGGATGACCAAATAGGGCCATAGGATGGGACTATACCAAGGTAGTTTGTATTACATTTAGTTCCTATTAGAGTCCCCTCTATACTACAAGCATCATGATAACACGTTCATTCCTACTTCTAGTTGATATTCATCAAATAGATAGTAACGAATCCCGGTGCATGCGTACTGCTGAAGAGCCCCGCACTGGGACGAAACAGCTGTCCAGTACTCCCTGCAGGTTTTCCAATGGCTCTCTAACTGATGTCAGCTCATGATGAAATCCTGTAACCAATCAACCAAATCCCTACAAACCAACACTCGAAGATAGAGTAAGCTGTCAAAATATTCTTAAAATATTCACATTCAAACAAAATTATTTTTTTGGGAGCCAAGTGCAAAATACAATGGCTGCGAAAGAAAGAAAAAAAAAAGAAAAAGCAATCTACCTTAAACTAACGGAAATCAATGATATATAATGTGATATTAACAGAAAAAAAACCATGGATTTTACGTAGACATTATTACTCTTTTTATTGTATAAATCGATAAAATCCAAGGTTGGAACGTCGTCACTACACGACAAAAGCACATTTCTTTTTATTTCAATGTAGGAATTTATCAAAGCTTGACATATTTGAGCATCTATACAGATAGATAGATAGACAGATATCTCGCTTTCATGCACCGGCAGTAAAAGACTAGTAAACACTAGTAAATCTCCTTCGATAACTTATTTAATTGAATTGAGTCCATGTCTACTCTCACCATTTCTGTGTAATTTCATCATAGATGTACTAATGGACTTAACACTGACTGACTTCAGCAATTCAGGGATTGATTGACTTGTTACCACCAGGGAATAATAGTCTCGTTGACTTAGAATACGCAGATGATGATGTAGTCCTTCTCGGTGAAGACGCTGCTAAAATGGAACAGAGTCTTCTGAACACCTTGAGCTTGAGCAGCAATCTTCGAATGTTTGGCATTCGGGCGATTCCCCCGTGCTGCTGTCGAATGTAAGATGATGCTACACGACTCGACTCGACTCGACTGGACTACATCGACTACTCGTAGCTTAAAGATAGGCAGGCAGGAGTGAAGTGGTGGCTGGCTGGCTAAGTATGTTGACCATTTCACTCATTGGGGGAGTTGCATAAACCCAGCTATCACCGATGAAATCACAGCACTCACACAACTTCTGCTATCATGAGAAGCACTTCATATCATTAAATGGAATCCAAATTGTCTGAACTAAATAGGAGTGATGGACTAAGAGAGAATTTGTCCTGGTTTCTCGCATGAAATGACAAAATCAACACGAATGTGACAAGCAATCTTCATTGTGTAAACACATGCTGTTTTTGTATAATTTTATACGCTCATCAAATCCAACAACACCCACACATGATTTTGTTATCTTTACCAACTGGCGGCCAGCTTGACAACGTGACAGCGGAATTACCCACTACTATGTTGATGAATGATGGTTAGGGTGTTTTATATTGTAAATTCTTCTGGTTTAATATTACTGCTTTGATAAAGCTGTTAGCAGCAGGGAATTAAATAGGAAAACGTCTTCAGTTGAGACGAAAATATCGTTTATCTTAATGAGCAGTAGGTGGTAGGAGTTTGTATTAGCCAGTCGTCTTGTCCTCAGACTTATTTATCTATCCGAGATTTTATAATAAGGTGGTAGCGCATCAGCAGTCTCTTTTTTTCTTTACTAACTATAAAAACAACAATAGAAATGGTCTAGAATTTTCTTTTTGTTGTTGTTGTCTTACGGAAGGCAACATCCGATATAATAGATAGAATATACATTTATTTCGTAAAGATTTCATCCGTGAATTCCACCAGACTTTTTTAATAATACTCTAATCAACAAAAACAGAAATGTAGGTTGCAAGTGCACCCATTGTTTGTTTCTTTGTTTTGTGTTTTTTGTGTTTTTTTATTCATGAAAGCTTGAATATTTGAGCTGTATTCACTGCAACAAAATTCACGTGCTTTTTTTATTATCACTAATTATTGTTTATCTAGTAGTAGTAGTAGTGTATGCGGAGAGAAAAAGTCAGTCAGGCAGTTAGTCAGTTAGCAGTCGTCAGATTTTGTTTTTGCTTAGAAAATGTGAAAGAATTCTTTTGATGATTGATTGCGCTATTTGTTATTATTATTATGTCATTATACAATGAAATTTTGCTATCTCATTCAGCCAAATACAATGGCTGTAGATTAAATCGAAATAATAATTTAGCACTGCTGGCGTTAGTAGCCAGTAAATTATAAATTCCACACTGTTTCTAATTATAAAGGTCAAATACAAAGGTCAAAGTTTTTTATTGTCTGATGACTCAAGGTTTTAAAATGTGTGGTATTATGAATACATGATAATAATAATAATAAAACTATGAAACGAATGCTTCAGATGGCGAAATAAGTCGTTACAAAAGATATATATACATATGTGCGCCGCTGGCACAGTGGTTAGGACTCTCACCGACCATGCACATGGTCCGGGGTTCGATCCCCTGCCGGCGCACACCCGATATCTATGGTCGGCCTGAAATTTGGGCTACCGATATCCATGCTGAAAATTCCATACTTGTACTGAAAATACGGTGTGGAATCAAGCTGTAATC